ACCTGGCTAAAGCTGGCTTCTTCTACACAAGTAAGTATTACATGGTACAAAGCTATTGTGATACATAGGTTATTGTTGTCTTCAAAAGCTGTAATCTACTAGAAGTGGCCTGGTCACACAATAGTGCCCCTTTGTATGGTTCTTCAATGTAGTTTGAAGGTAGCATAATGTCAAATAGATGTACATGTGTACTAAATATACCTAGATATGACTTAGTGAAAAGAAATGATGTCATGATATATTTTACCCTTACCAGCTGCAGCAGTTTGTTATTTCCAGGTTTTGATAATTGTTTATTACTCAAGATTATCAACCTCTTTCTGACCTTCCACAAACCTTCCTGTTCATACTTCAGTGGTTGCTGACAACGTGAAGTGCTTCTACTGCGACGGTGGGCTGCGGAACTGGGAGCCTGGTGATGAGCCGTGGACGGAGCACGCCAAGTGGTTCCCTCGGTGCGAGTTCCTGCTGCAGCAGAGAGGGGATGACTACGTACAGGGAGTACAGGCTCGCTTCCCTAACCTCCATGCACAGCAACAGGTACAGGTACATGTGTGCAGAGTTCTCCTCCTTTGGTTTGATCTAGTCTACTGGATTGTTGTTAAAGATAAAGGACCCTGTTAGATGTGTGCCGTGCATGTGTGCACTTCCTTTGGTTTGATCTTGTCTACTGGAGAGATGTTACAGCTCTTGGGTTGACAGCAGTTGGAGAAAACCCTGTCCAATCTGTCAGCCAAGTTTATGATGTGTGCCTAGTTCTCTTCCTTTGGTTTGGTTTGGTTCACATAGAAGCTTGTGCTCTTCTGGAACAGTTGTTAAAGGTCTTGAGTTGACAGCAGTTGGGGAAAAAGACCCTGCCCAATCTGTCAGCCAGATTTGATAATCAATTATAAGATGTGTGCAGAGTTTTCTTCCATTGGTTTGGTTTGGTCTCCTGAAATGCTGTTCTTGGAGCTCTTAGTTGTAGGTTGACTGGTTGAGTTTGCACAAATATTAAAGATCTTGATGCATACAGCATGGAAAAAAGGCCCTGTCCAATCTGTCAGCCAAAGGTAGTTAGGTGCAGATTTCTCTTTGGTTTGATTTAGTCTAGAGTGCTGTTCTGGAAATTGTAAATTGTAGGTTGGCTGGTTGAGAGTGGACAGATATTAAGGCTGGAGCAACAAGGAACCCCCAGTTACCTGTTTCTATGTCAGCTAACATGGAACATTGTCTGTTTTGTTCTGTAGATACTGCAGCAGCACATGAGACCACCAGATGAAGCAGGCACTGGTAAGTACTGGTAATTGTACATCGTCTTCATGAATAACAGCAAGGAAAGTGTTATTTAAAATTCCTTGAAATATGTATGTAACAGATATTGGCAACACTTTTGAAGAAAATAAATGTGAACAATTTAATGACAGTGCCAGTTCTGTTGTAAAATGTAGTGCAAAGTTTTGCAAAGTTCAGCAGTCGACCTGTTACACTGCCAAATTTGCATATACTATGCCAGAGCCATCCCTGAGTCCCTCACTGAAATTCTTCAAGAGCAAATTGTCATGTGTAGTCCAGATGCTGTGCCAAGACTGAATCTGAACTTGAACTTTTTTAGGCCGGCCAGCTCCGCGACCGCAGACCTCCCAGAGCAGCCTGGCTGTGGAGATGCAGAGTCAGGTCAGTGTTCAAAATACCCATCAGCATTTTGCAGAGTCTCAGATTTACAATATTGTGGAAGAAAAATGCTGCAATTTTGCATTATTAGGTTGAGAAGGTTGTAGTATGGAGGCTTGTGTATTTGCAGAAAGTGTTTCCAAATTGCAGATCAAAATTTTGACTCATCTGCAATATTGCAGAACATACATTGTATTGCAAAGAAGTATTTCTACCACTGCAGGTTGTGTCAGGTGTGCTGGAGATGGGCTTCGACCCAAACATAGTCCGGAACGCCGTACAGCAGCACCTGCGGGAACACGGCAGTGGCTTCACGTCCGCGCACGAGCTGGTCGTCGCCGTGCTGGACCTGGAGGAGGAGGAGGAGAGGATGGAGCATTCAGGGTCATCCCAGATGGGGAAAGGGGCTGGACCAGGGGAGGGGGCGTCACAGAAGCTGAAGGAGTTGGAACAGCCGGCTGCAACAACAACCACATCTGCTTCTGCTGCTGCTGCAGGGGCCAGTGGGACAGAGGAACCACAACCAGGAACAAGTGCACCCATGGAGGAACCAGCCGCTGCTGCTTCAGGTAAGGTGCTGATGAAATCAGTCAAGTTTTCTTCTCGGATCAGATTCATAATTTGTATGACAAAAGTCTTTCACATGCTGCTTCCAAAGTTTGTAGTTTTTAATCTGCCATGATTGTGTGGGTATTATTATGATGAAATTTGAAATAAAGTCATTAGCCTTTTAGCTGAATATGACTCATCAAACACGCATTATCAAACATGCCTCACAAGCTTCAAACATCAACTATACCTCCTCCAATGGTGACCTTTGACCCATTAAATATGTCAATTATGGCCGACAAATCGGCCGATGGACATTAACAGGAGAAACAACCAAATTTTCTTTTGGCTGTTGCATTGTTGGCCAGATGTTTCCATGGCAACCACATATCTATCCTCTGTGCAGCCTTAGGCCACACTGACTTAATTTTATGGATGACATCCGCGCGCGCATTGATTTTCGCCTGTCGCCCTCAAAAAAANAAAAAAAAAAGATCACGTCCACCGAGGATCTGGCCTGGCTCTAGGCATGGTAGTCAGCGACAAAACAGAGCCGAGCACCCAGGCTATCGAATTCGAAGTTCCGCGACTCAAGTACTCAGTACATAAGTACAGTACCGATTCATAAATACCGCAAAAAGCAAGCATGTCGTACACGTTGCTAAGTACTGCCACATATTCACAATACCAGCTTTGTATTCCTGTGGTTTAGTAGCATTTTTATTTTTGGCCGGAATTTTTTTTATTTGCCCGCGCGCACTAGTTTGGTGGTCTTTAGAGGATGTCATCCATAAAATTAAATCGGTGTGGCCTTACTTTCACTTTCTTTTTTTTTAAACAATACATTTCTGATCATCTACTACTCTTGCTCTACAGGAGAAGGCAACAGTCTTGAACAGTTGCAGAAGGAACTGGATAAGTACAAGGATGAGAGAACGTGTAAGATCTGCATGGATGCTGAGGTTAACATAGTTTTTATCCCGTGTGGGCACCTGGCGGTCTGTGCCAACTGTGCAGCCAGCGTACGCAGGTGCCCCATTTGTAGGGCTAGCATTCGTGGCACTGTCCGCACGTACATGTCTTAGGTTGAAATTCAACTTCAAACACTAGTTCAGTTTAGGTTGCTGGTTATTGTTTATGGTTATTAATTTGTTACAGTTTTTGAACTGTGAAAAAATAATAAAAACAAAAATATACAGAAAACAACAATAATCATATAAACAATAACAACATCCTAACTTAAGTCTTATACATATCAAATCCAGCACATGCACAGAGACCTACATGTAGTCAGGCAGATATGCTTCTAAGATATACTTAACCAGGATGAAGAAGAAAACAGGAAGCTGATATCTTGTTTGGAACCCTTTACTGTGTTTTCATGTTGAACTGTATTCATCCTAATCCCTACATGTCTTGTGAACAAATTGAAGAAACTTAGTTTATATGAAAAGGGAAGGTAGCCAAATATTTCCAATCTATCACATATGTAGTACTCACAGCAATTACTTTCAACCTCTGTTATGTTACCACACGCTATACTTAAGATTACTAGTCTTATTTTGAAAACAACAAGAAATTAATCATGTAATGTACAGTACAATGGAAATGTTTGAAGTTAAGTCCAAGTTGAAATACATTGTACAGGCATTTCTTGCATTTGGCTTTACAGATATTTACAGTTGAATGTTTGAGTTATTGTTCTTGCCTTCTGTATGTACATAATATAAGTGATAACAACTACATGTATACAAATATTAAAATCTACTCTCAGATTGTTGAAAATTTTTCAAGTTCTGTAATTGTAATTAAACTTACATGCATAAAATGAGTAAAATAAAACAAAAAGTTGCAGCAAATTCTGACTGACAATTTCCGTATGAAATTTCCTAGATTTCATAATTTTAGTTTTTGTTCTTTCAGAACATTGATCAATATAATTCATCATTTTTGCAATATCAATAATTTCTTACCCCTATTTTCTTGATTTACTCTAAAACTTGGAACATGTAAATATGTAAACTTTAAATCAGTCAGTCCACAATAAGCCACAAAGTCCACAGGAAAGCTTAACGTACTGCTTAATAGAGGTCATTTATCTAAAACTATTCGCAAAACATAAATGTACAATGAATAAAAGGACTACCAAAAATACTGGTACAACTTTTGCTTTCTTTGTACAAGTAGAAAAGTAGTGACAGATGAGTTTGGTAGACATATGTTTTTGTTGATATGCATTAAAATATAACCTTATCTGTGATATTTATTTTGATATTGACAAGTTTATTGGACAACAATTGTATAGGGCAGCTTCTATTTTAGAGGACTTAACTGCTCTATAAAAGACCAGGATAAAAATATATACCTGAACGTCTTCATGCATGTGTACATAAATCCTTCGGCTGAGTTTTTCTAGATGTAAATGGACGAACAATCTTGCACGTTGTATGCTCCAAGGGCTTGTTCAGTTGTGACTCCGTTCTCAGCAAAGTCTGTGGTGGAATGATGGTAGCACTCAATGTTGTAACGCCCAGGAACCTCAGTGTTTTGGTGAATAGGCTTCCCTTGCACCTCACTGACATCATAGGCAATGGTTCCCATAAAACGATGGTAACGTCCATAGTCATAGTGTCCAGGTACTTCTGTGTTTTGCCGGAGAGGCCTCCCTTGCACGTCACCGACGCCAAAGTCCGTCGTGCCGAAACACCCATGGTTATAATGTCGAGGTTCTGTGTTTTGACGGATTGGCCTCCTTTGCACCTCACTGACACCATAGGCTACACTACCCATACTAGTGGGATGATAACGCTCAATGCTGTAATGCCCAGGCACTTCGGTGTTTTGACAGACAGCCATCCTTCTTTGCTTATCTCACTGAGATTACAGGCAACCTAGCAAATTTGAGGAAAATGTCAAAAGAATACATGCGAGGTGCTATAACGTCAAATGCACATGTACGGGTGGAATATAAAGCGGTAACTTGCTGTCGGTCACATTATACTTGGCGAGAACTTGGATTTAGAACTTGGCATGGAACGAAACTTGAATGTGTAGTTAAACAGAACTCACCTGTGCGCCGTGGAGGTGCTTTAGCCGCTGCCGCACTTGTTGAAAATTAAGTTGCATAGGATAATACGGATGTCAGTATTGTTGGAAATACTAGTAATAGCATGGTATAGTCTAGGTTGTCTTTCTATTGCAACGCACACCCGTGGACCTGGTGAATAATCAGAGTCATTCAGACTCAAAGATACAATATAGTGAACGTGCGAGAAATAGTGGACGTCTGGAAGTCTTAACGCGCCGGACAAGGGGATTCCCCCGACTCCCTCCGGCGTGACCGCATCGGCCAATCAGAACGCTGGAATGCATTTGAACCTTCCTTCCTTGATGACGTAATGACTTAGTGGGTCGCAGAGAACTGCCGGTTCTAGCCTCCTGTGCAGGCCCCGCGGCGGTGGAGAAGAGTTTTTAACGCGTTATTTTGATACAGCCGGCCATCCTACATAGCCGCCGAGAGAAGGTTGCTTTCCGCCCACGTCTTCTCTCGTCGGCTATGTAGGATGGCCGGTAGCCTGACTAAATCGCGCTCCTGGCGGCCGCCGCCCTAGGTTGGGGTGGGGGTCATTAAGTGATGATTAACCTCCGGCCGAGAGCTTGTATACACAGGCTAGATGGCCGGCTGTATTAAAATAACGCGTTAAAAACTCTTCTCCACCGCCGCGGGGCCTGCACAGGAGGCTAAGTTTTTAATTTCCCTTTTTTCTTGCCGAATGGGAGCAGGCCCCGTGGGCGGAAAGCAACCTTCACTCGTCGGCTATGTAAGGTGGCCGGCTGTATTAAAATAACGCGTTAAAAACTCTTCCCCACCGCCGCGGGGCCTGCACAGGAGGCTAGAACCGGCAGTTCTCTGCGAGCCGCTCAGTCATTACGTCATCAAGGAAGGTAACTTGGCTAGCAGCCAAGTGCTAGTAGCGATACCAAATTTCTGCATGTTTATTCACCAGGGGTGTACGTTGCGATAGAAGGACATCCTAAACTAAGCCATCATATTATTATATTTCAGTCCATACCATGGTATGGATGAAATATATTGTGTTCTCTGATGTTTCTTCTCCTTCTTCTCCTCCTCCTCCTCCTCCTGCCACACAGTCAGAGGGATTCAACTCCGCCATCATTCAGCCAAATAACTTGAAATTTGGCATGGAGGTAGAGTGGGCCAATACCCCCAGGCGTTTTTTTTTCATTTTTTTTATACTGTACATGCCTTTAAAAAATTTTTATGAAGGTTTTTTGGGGCAGTTTTCGCCAAAAAATGGATTTTTGGATCCTGAGCCCTGGTTTTACAACCAAATGATCTGAAATTCGGTATAAGGGTACCTTGAACATGTGTCTACAGAACAACAGTCACATATTTGGCATACACCACTTCCAAATGACTCATTTAGGGGACTTTAATGGCTATTTTCAGCAAAAAAGGGCCAAAAGTGCTATACCCGTTCCATGTTCTATCTAAAGAATGGCACGTTCTATCTGCCGTTGGCCATGGAACAGGTGTTCCATTGCGGGTTACCTGAGGTCACATTGCACGTAAGTCGTGCGTAATGACCCACACATTCAATTTTATGTGCCTAAGACCTTCAAAATGTATCAAATCTCATCATTGTTAGTATTTGCATACCTGTAAGAAGATTAGTAAAGCTTTCGAGATTCAATGTGCTTGTTGTTGCATCTTTGTTCTCAATTACATGGCTACTATATAATTCATTTATTTGAGAATCTTTGCCAGTTTTACACTGGGGTAAGTTTGGAATAGTCCACTTTTGCGTGGGAGGGAGATGGACTGAAATATGCTGTATTTGCTCCCAAGCAAATGTCGGCCTCTCTAGTTTCCAATTAGAGTTCGTGGAAAACATGCTTTCGCCATATGTAGAGTACATTCATGGCTTCACCGCACCACGAAGTGAGAGAAAGCAATATGACTATGGGTGTTACATCCGTGTTATCGGCACAACAGCCTATGGTGTTATAACACCATAGGCTTGTTTATTTTGGTTAGAAAACTTGGAGAGGGGTGGGTGTGTTGTTTGCTTGGAGACGGGTATGGAGAGGGGTGTTTCTCTCTCTCTCTGTCTGTGTGTGTGTGTGTGTGTGTGTGTGTGTGTGTGTGTGTGTGACACTGAACCAAAATATCTCCATGCAGATCATTGGCTGAAGATAATTACGCGGACTAAAGAGACTTGCTACCAGACGAGACCACTTGTGTGCCAAATTTGCAAGCAGCATGGCAACATCTGAAAGAACTGTTGAGTTAGTACCCGTTTCCAGGGGACAAACACATGGACGGTCCCTTAGGAATTCTAATGAACTGACCCTACCGACCTGCCGAACTCTAAGGTTTAAGAACAGTCCTGTACCGTCGATGTTGCGGATCCTGAACGCTAACTGATATTAGAAGCAATTGCCACTAATGTATTATTTTAAAATGTATTATTTTAAAGCTATGTATTATTTTAAAACTTTGTTGTAAATATTTTTAATGTGTCCTGCACAATATGTATGTACAGAAGGCGCAATTCAGCCTGTCTGGCTGCAATGTCTTTTATCAATAAACCATTTTGAAAGAAAAAAAAAAAGAAAAAAAAACGACCGTTGGTCAATGGTTACAGCCTTGCTACCCGGTTGGAAACAAGTTTGGTTTCCGTTTCACACACAAACACCCCTCCATACAAGTTGAACTGCATGTTCCGTGGCCGTGCTTCATATGCTGAAACACCTACACTAGTACATGTACTAACTAAACATCGCGATATTCGTGAGTCGTGATCGATATGGACGCACAATGTAAGTTGCCCAAAATTGTCCGACAGAAAACAAACACGCATTTCTCGGTGACTTCTGTTCAGGTGAAGACAAAATTCCGACAAATCGAACCTGGTGATAATTCATGCATATGTGCTGATCGGGGTTGCGGGGTTATACTTCTGTATAATGTCCTTGCTTTGATCAAAGAGCTTTCATGACATGTGATTGGAGTTTGAACCACCACAACACTGTTGTGCAAGCCTTGATAAAACCACTTAAACTGAGTGGTTTTATCAAGAATTGTGTACCTTGACCGAATAACAGCATCACCGGTACTGACGTATCCGCTTTTTGTGTAATGGGTGTCGTATTTGGATTTGATTTTAAATCTCCTTGGTCAAAGGTACCTTTCCGCGTGGGGGAAAGCTGAGGATCGCTTCCCACATCACGCACACAAAACATTTCCGTTTTCAATGAATGAATGAATGAATGAATGAATGCATGGGTTAGGTACAAAGGGTAACTTGAATACACAAAATATATACATAACAAGATCAATCTAGTACTAGCACTACAGTCTGTTACATAATTTCGACTTCTCTTCGCTTCTCTGTGATGTTGAAAAGATAAGAACATACAAGTTTAAGGATCGGGGTTTGTCTAAGTTCATTAAAAATGTGAATTTGTCTGTATTACTTAGGTGTGTAAAGTGGGGGAAACATCGATGTTATTCGTCTATAAAGTTCAATTCTCGCACTGTTATACAAACTACATTCTACTACAAAATGAAGTTCATCTTCTATTCTATCTAGATTACAGTATCGACAATTACGTTGTTCCAGGGGAGTGCGGTTATGTCGACCGGTCTCAATGTGCAGTTTATGGCAGCTGATCCGTAGTTTTGTGACGGCGTTTTTGTGCCGTGTGTTGTCGATATTTAGGTACTGTTCTTCATTGTAGGCCAACTTGAACAGTCTTTAGGTCCTCGGTTTGTTTTTAGCAGGACCACCTCTGTTGTCATTGTGTATTTCTTTAAAGAAGGTTTGGATGTAAATGTCTTTTAGTCGCTGATGGATGGAGTTAATAATTTGAGACGCATTTGTGTTGTATGAGAGGGGACAGTGCCATATGTAACCATAACCACACTCCTCCAGGGACTTGCGCACTCCTGATGCCCAACATTTGGCTCCAGCTTTGTCTAACTCTAGCTGGCAAGATAGAGCGTCAGCTTGTAGTAGTAGAGTGGTTTATTACAAGAAAGAGACAAAGTACACACAAGCCTCCTGGCAGCCATGATAGCTGAATTGCGAGGCTTATTCTAACAACATGTTGCGAACGAACTTTGTACATTCATAAAATCTAAAAATATAGTTGAATTTAAAAGCGAATATTTAAAATCGGCATACAATAAAGTTGTGTGGTAAGTGAATAAAACACAGTGTGGAGTTACTGCTGCTAAAACGTATGAGTAGTAAAAGTTCATGATCTAGAGTTCATTTAATCGTCTGACCAGGGCAGGGATCCCACTTGTCGTGTAGCGTTTGGTCCCGGAGGGCTGCTGGTACCTACTGGCGTTACGTAGATTTCTGCCATGCAGTTCACCACGGGTAGGGGGAAGCCAAGAGCGGAAGCGTGAAGACTTTTCCACGCTGGAAGCAAAGTTCGAGCATAAGTGTTCTCTTCTATCCGCCAGACGTTGCAAGTCGAGCAGCGCTAGGGTTTCGGTGTACGAGTTGTACCTGCGTCCCAGAATGATTCGGCAGGCGCGTTTCTGAACGCGCTCTAGGGCATCGGACTGTTTCTGCGTCAGCGCAGTACTCCAACAGGGGGCGGCGTACTCAAGTGTCGGCCGGACGTAACCGCAGAAGATGGAAACCAAATCAGTAGTGGGGACCCCAGAACGGCGTAGTCTGCTGATAAAGAAGAGTCGCTTGCTGGCTTTAGTAACCATCTCGTTCAGCTTGAAAACTATCCCCTATATGACAACCCTCCTGAACGAGCAAGACACATAAGCCAACACTGTGTATTTTATTATATGACGCCCCTTGTTTATAAGTACTTAGTATAAATCCTATATGAATAAGAGAAATATTTTTATAATTCGATTTTAATAATTCGATATAGCACATGAATGTCCATCTTTTAACCAACGCATTTTACTAGTTTTATTATACATTGTACACTTACATAAATTGTAGTTGTAATTCATAATTTTTAACCTTCAGTAATAATTGTTATAAGTCCATGATAATGTATGTATGTACTGTTACCATAATTCAGTCTTAGGACTGCAAGTGTGACATCTATGAGTGGAACTTCAAATAAACCATTCTTATTACTATCGGCTGGTACATTCTGGCGTAGTCTAAGCAAATGCTTGAATTGATAGCGTTTAGGGTGGCTTCCACTTGAATGGGAAACCTCCCTAATTCAATAGCCCTGGGCCACACAACAGTACAATCACTACAGCATTGATCCGTCAGCATTGAGCATTTCGAAATTTTCATGGAACTTCCGTTGGAAGTGGATTTTTGTTAGAGAACTCTTTTTAAAGGAGATCCTAGTGAAGTGTCGGATTGCAGTGTCAGTCCACATTTCACAAGTCAGGGTCTATGGGAATTCAACTACTGGTGGGCAAATCAGTCAACCGTCATCTGCTTTTTGCCTATACCACGATCACTGTTATTCTCAAATTGTGTATATGTGTGATCTGTTACTTTCATTGTCACTTCTGGTAACCCAAAGCACATAAAAAATCTAAGCATTACCACCAAAGTAAGGCGAATTGACTGTCAGTTTCAGCACTGTAGAGATTCTGTATTACGCCAAGTTTGTTTCTATTGAGATTCTTACTATAGGCTTGCATACAATTGAATACAATCAGTATTGTAAAAGAATATACTAGTTAGCAGAAACAGTGTTCATCTCATGTGAAACACACGTGATACGAGGGGTGTTCAAAAAGTTCTCGGCCTCACCTAGAAAACGTCAGGGCAGTAAAATTTTTCTTACACTATTTTTTAATATAGTCCTCTCTAACTGCAATGCACTTGGTCCAATAATGTTCCAGCTTTATTTTCCCATTGTGGAAGAAGGTTGCATCTGGACCCCCCAGATTGGCCTATACCGCATAGATGACGTCATCATTACCTTCAAAACGTTGACCACATAAGTGGAACTTAAGTTTAGAAAACCGGTAGAAGTCCAAGGGTGCTAGTTCTGGTGAATTGGAAGGGTAGGGTTAGACTTCAAAGCCAAATTCGTTTGTTGCTGTCACTGACCCCTGTGTTGTGTGGACAGGTGCATTTTCATCACGACAGCTCGGTGCTTTCCTCTCCTTTTCTCTTTGACTGTTGTCGTCAACTGTCGCAATTCTGTTGAATAATACTCCCCATTGATGCTTTAACCCCCTCGCAGGTAGTCAATAATGATTACTTCCTTACTGTCCCAGAAAACAGAGGCAAAAACCCTGACAACGGACGAAACTCGCTAAAACTTCTTGGGGGGCCGGGGAAAATTCTCCATCCATTGTTTTCCCTGCTGTTTTTATTCGGGCTGAAAGTGGTGAACCCAGCTCATCTTGGGTTACAAATGTTTTGAGGAAATTGCATGGATTGGACTAAATTCGTTCATTGAACATGATGTCCAGCCTGTTTAACTTCTGATGTTCAGAAAACATTCGAGGCACCCACCATGCAGACAGTTTGTTCATCCCCAGGATGTTCGACAAAACATTGTGAACTGAGTCATAACACAGGCCAAAGAACCTGCTACATGTTGGCCAGTCTCACATCTGTCATTCACTACCATGTGATGGATGGCCTCAACTGGATTGTCCGTGGTGCTGATTTGTGGCATCCTGACATATGTTCATCTTTTGTGCTGTCCTTGCCGCGCTTGTAGCTAGTAACCCACTTCTTTATAGTTGAATAAGAAGGGGAGTCATCACCAAGTGTCTTGACCATGTCTTCATGGATGTCCTTATGAGACATCCTTTTTTATCGATATACTTGATCACAGCACACGCTTGTGTTGCGGCCATTTTGTGATTTTGCCCTTACCTCACTCATTTTCACGGGGCGTCACGTGCTAATTAATGAATGTAAAAATTTGAATTTTTGTGTGCAGTGATGTAAGACGTCATAGTATACAGCTATACCAAAGAATAGGAGTTTGACCTTTATTTTCTAGGTGAGGCCGAGAACTTTTTGAACACCCCTCGTAAGAACAAAGAATTACTTTATACAGAACTAAACGTTATACAGAAAGAGTACAAGAACGAACACACAGTCATTAGGCAAACTTTTATTAAACTCCTAAGGCATTGTTAAGATGTGTTCTCCAATGTTTACCCTTCACTGTGTAAAGACGGCTGCCAGACAGGTTCTACTGACCACGTGGATCGGTAGGTTGGCAAACAGGGTTCCCCTGCACATCACTTGCACCATAGGCAGCCTGAGAGTAGGTAAAAGCAGAACATGAATTAAGACAAAAGATTAAGACAAACGCACATGAGAAAAACTACAACCTATTCATCTAGCATATTCTCGAATGTTGATAGATTGAAGAAAGTAGTCTATAAACGTACCTGTACCTGGTCCTGGTTGTCCTGTGTACGACGCTCAGCAGGAATGTTGCAGATATTGTGGCAATGCGGACAGGTGGCACTGAGGACGAGCTGAGCCTCTGCCAGAGCCATGGCGTTATCTGCACTCACATCCTGATTTGATAACAAGTGGTTGAAACTAATCGTAGAGTGATCTATTCCGATCGCCAAATGGATTATCGGGCATTGAGCTCCCTAGGTGCTGTTGTACATACGTAGTATAATCTTTATTCACATTCCCACATCATTGACTCGCCATGATGATTGAGACTATTCGTGTTCGCAGCATATTAATTCACAGAACCCCAAAGCTTTCCTTTTTCTGGACTTCCTAAACTTAAGTTACAGCCAAACTGTCTTCGTACAGGTTCAGTTTGATAAATAATGGCGCACAAGTACTGTCTACTGGAATTTCTAAACTCGCCAACTGTTGGGCGGTAGTACAGGGAAAGTTTTAGGTAACCCACCTGCGTGTGTTGCCGATCCGTCACCGTTGCCGACAGGCGAAAGTACCTTCCGCAGTCAAAGCGGGGGCATCTTTGTCGACACTTCACTACCAGATGATAGACTTGGTCGCGATCTGCTGCCGGCACTTCAGCGTTTCTAGCTTGCATGGTTCGAGTCTGAAGCCTCCTTTCAGAAAAGTGCATTAGCCCTTGTAAAACTAAAAGACTTGGTTGTGATGCCTCGGTTTGTGGCGGTGCGAGAAACCTATTTATAAATCTTTTCATACTGATACCATGCAGGTAGAATGAAAGTATGATGCTGATACCCTCACAGGCAGGGGAAGTCCCTACAGTGTCCACGTTTCTTATTGGTCAATTTGGGGGTGTGTGTCTGTACGATGGCCAATAAGAACGAGAATCTCTTATTTCTCTGGTTCCCCAGGAGCCACGTGATGAAAGTCGTCTCGTTTTTCCGTGCGCACGCGCAGGTAAACTCCACCCACGCTCTACCCCTACCTTTCTGAAAAAAGCCGATGCCGCTCTCTTCATCGGCTTTTTCGGACGTTTGCGAAGAAAGCCGATGCCCGGGTCCAAATTTAATTAATAGGCCAGTCCCGTGCAATGGGGAAATCCCCTAGCCTCTACCAGGCACCGCGGATCGCTGGAATAGTAGAAATTGGCCGAAATAAAGGGATAGTATACCAGAGAAGATCCAGGGCCATACGGGTCTGGTGTACTATCCTACTCTCCAAGCAGAGGTTGTGGGGAATGATCGTTACCTTTTTATATATGGCCGTTTTTTTTGTCCTGATCCCCACCACCCGTCGCGTCGGTGGCCGCGGAGCTTCTCTGGCTAATGGATACTGCCTGGCCAATTTGATACTGTCTTTTTGCCACCCAGAGGGATCTGCTTGGAGATTATACTATCCCTTTATTTCGGCCAATTTCTACTATTTTTCCACCGATCCGCGGTGCCTGGTAGAGGTTACGTGCAATGGGGGAATCCCCTTAGTCTCCACGCTTCTTATTAGTCAATTTGGGGGTGTGTCTATACGATGACCAATATGACGGTGATGACCAATAAGAAACCCCGCCGTCGGCCGTTCAAAATTGCCAAACCTATTATAGCTCCCGAGTCCTACATCCTCTCCGCCAATGCGGATGTAGGACTTGGGAGGTATAATAGGCATGATAGGTTTGGTAACCAGGCTACCCGCCCGCCCCTTCCGCCCGGTCCCCCCGCCCCGCCTGCCAGGCCAGCTCAAAACGCTGAGTTGGCAAATCTTTCATTTCCGTGGGCCAATCAGAACGCAGTGAACGCACCAATTTTGCTGCTAAATAATTTCACCAGTATTGTCAGTTTCTATATCTATCTTTTGTTTAGTTTACTAGTATTTGTTTATTAAAATTCATCAGATGGAAGGGGAGGGAGAACATGTGGGTCAGATTTACCAGCTCCCTCCCCAAATTACATTACAAAATTCTAAAACAATATTTATATCATATACATACATCTTAACGCAAATAATATACAAGTATCCACCAGTGGTACACCGCAACTAATGTTGATTTAATTAATCCATTTCAGGAAAATGACATTAAGTCAGTACAGTTATGATAACATTTAGCAAGACTTACGTAAGATTATGCTTTTGTTACAGGCAATACTAAGAATAATTTCTAAACCTGGCATTTATCCACGTATTCTATACTGTTGCCAGTTCAACCAGCGGTTCTGTCTGAGTCTGAGCGTCCTTCTGACCAATATTGGGTTCTGCCTTTAAACCCCCTCCGTGCACCATCCTCAGAAGTGCCAGTCTACACCTGTACAGTACGTACACGATCGCGTGAAAAGCGGGCACCACGAAAACGATCATTACCACAACCAAATAAGCGGTCCTCTTGGTCTTTCCCGCGAAATCTAGGAAAACGTACACCTGGCTGTACTTCCTGAACCCGTCTAAAGACGAAACCCAGCACACGAAAAGCACATACGTCACTAGATACAACTCCGGATAGATGACGTGAGCAATTCGTGAGGGGATGTCACAGATAAGGACCTCCGTCACGACCAAGACTGAGTTCATGATGTGTAACAGCCAACTGTTGGTGGAGAGATCTCCACCCATGGCGGAGTAATATACAGTGGAAATGGTCAGTGCGTGGGTGCATGCGATGTTGTACAGCGCCCAGTCTAACTTCATGTACCAAGGAAGTGGTCCCGTGTTTCTGCTTTGTTCGTGGTGCCTACTTTTACTACTTAATTGGCGGCTTAAGGATTCCTGCTCCATCTTCGGTCCGTTTCGATGAAAGTCGTCGTCTTCAAGTCGGGCGGAGTCGTCGAAAAAGTCGTCGTGGCCGTCCCTTCCGACTTTGACGTGTTCCCGGAGGCAAATGGCGGCGGACACGCACATGTGCGCGGTCAGGGCCACGAACCCCCAGTGCGTGAACTTCAAGAACCTGTAAAAAGGAGGATTGGAGAGGATTGATGAATACGTGAGAACTAAGAATGTACATGGACGACAAAGGCTGTTTCCAGTGCTCCCAACTAAGAAGTACGAGGGGGATACAAACTTAGCCACCACAGTAGCCACGTTTGAGATTGTGTTCTCGCCGCAAAAGCGCCGCATACATCGGCTATCATAATCAGAAACGTAAGCAGGTGAGAATCATGTTGTGTATACGTAAGAAGAAAATCTCTATATCCTATGTCATACCAACCTATTTTCGGACGCATTGTTCACGACAATTAAACATTTGAATGGTTACAGATACAACCTACAGATGAGCTGTTTAAGATTTTAATCGTCAGGTGAAGACGTACCAGCCGAAGTTTGAGGTGATGTTGAGCACCACCATGTTACCCTGCAGCACCAGGAAGGTGAAGATGGCGGCCAGACCACGGTACACCAGGAACGGCGTCTGGTCCGCAAACCACTGCAACACGGAAACGGACGTTTACTAGAGATATAGTTTCTACCAGCTCTTGTGTTGTGATAAAGTAGTTGGAATTAAGATTTTAGACGTTTTTTTCCAGTTTGGGACATGTGAGAAAGTAATAGTATACCTAATGTCATGAAATATTCGTTCTATTGTGCCAGAGAAGGCGCGGCCCAGTATTTAGATTCACCTCATAGAACGAACAAAACGCTTTCAAGAACCCGTTTATCAAAATGAGACCAAATCGTCCATACATGTAGTTGTCATAGTTGTGCTCTGAGGCAATCATACAGAAGGCGGTCGGACGACTTTTACTTGTCATTATGTAACTCAACTCAACTCACTCACATTTACTGACTGTCATTTTGGAAGCAAAGAAATCTGTAGTTTTACCGCCTCTTGAACTTGAACGAATGACTCTATGTGGAAAGTCCACCGTACATGTTGCCTTTCAGTGTCCACCGAGGAAAGAAGTGTATGAATGGAATAACCTTTCACAGTTTGTTTACTAGTAATACTCTGTTTAATTGTTAATACACCAAACGCCCATGAAATTAAAAGAGAACGTGTGTTATAAACATACCGGTGAAGTGTAGAACGCGCTCTTGTCTGTATGACTCAGTAGCATGGAGGCAAGTCTGCACATTCGGCGGCACATTTTGGGCAAGATTTCCGGCTGTTGCTTTCTCTTGTGGTTGTACTACAGGTTGCCGGTCGAACGAGTCAAAATTACAGATGACGTCAAGGGTCATCACGTCTGTGATTGTCAGTCTTGGATCCCCTGGGGACTGTTCCATTAACAAGTTCAGGGGTGGTCATATTTTATATACTACCTTCAAAGAAACTCTTCAGACTTCTACACAACTTTTATTCCTCATGTCGTGACTGCCAAGCGAGTAGCCGGTTATTTTTCTTAAAATCGTGTTATCCATACCCACTTATAAGCTAATTTCAAAGGACTCTTCCATTCCGAGTTTAGGACACAAATGATTGTATCTTTGGAGCATGCAGCAGCGCCCCTACAGGCCATATTACAAACTGCATGTTATGTCGCCAAACTGCAAATGTTCCGTAAATCTTAAAATGATTAAGGCGCCTTTATTGTCGCGACGCCTTGCCACTTCAAGATCACGTCAGCGCAAATTTGTTTTTGTGCTACAGTATTGTTTCGGCCATGAATTCAAAACTCTTCAAAAAACTAGTTCTCACTGCCACTACATCAAACTTAAAATACCATTTCTTTAGCAGCAACTTTATATGAAGTGCTTTGACCGACTGCCTATTACACCATGCAGGTTTGAAAATTCCAGAATTTCCTAAAAAAAGGTTTAGACTACAGTGGCAATACACCACGAATTCCTGGTAAAATAAACAATGACAAGTGTTTGAGATGGTCATCAATCTCTTTTAATGAAATCATTCCTTACATAATATCAGCAGTCACTGGTCTTAATGCCGGATTTACACTGGTAAAGATGAGTGTTTCAAATATGTGTTTTTCAAATGCATAAGGCCACACCAATTTAATTTCTTGGTTAACGGATTTTTCTAGAAAAAAAATGGAGCGGGCGGGCGAAAAAAAATTAAAATAAAAACAGGCCTAGGCATCGTATTATGACCCAAAATGGTACGATAGGAGCCATGAAGTCAACACACCAGGCTGGTTCAAATTTAAACAATGAATTTTGACCTTTTTATGACACCATTGCATTGAAAGATGGAATAACTGTAACAACTAGGATGAAAAGGACTGTTTTCAACTGTTCAGGTCAAAATATGAGCATTTTGCAGTTGATTCTGAATTTTTATTTTTATTTGCAAATCAGAAAAAAATGAAGCGGCGAATCCGTTAACCAAGAAATTAAATTGGTGTGGCCTAAACAAAAGTAATAATATACTAGTAATAACATATTCTGTGAAACATAACTTAAAAGTTGCCTTATTTGGAGGTTCTAGATACACATGTACTTTAAGTGGTAGTCATATGAAGAAATTGAGATAAAACAAAAGAAAAACCCACTCTGGTAGTTTAAGTTCAGTATATAGTCTTGAATGTAGCAGTACTATTACCAGTATCACATATTGATATATACAAGAGAAGGAATGGAGTAAAAAAAGCTGCATCAATAGACAAACTTTGCATTATGTGTAAAAACATGTCAAGGTCCTTACCGTATTTACAAGATACAAAAAATGAGTTTATCTTTTCGTCACGTTCAAATCATTTTCTGAAGGCCTAAAGATCAACTGTAGAGAGTTCATCTGCATGTTTTGAATGGAAGAAAGCGATTTAAACCTGATGTCTCATTTTTGTTACTGTAAGCCTCTGTGCCTTCACAAATTCAAACTGGCCGGCATTTCACGAAGAAGTCATCCAACACTAGATGTGGGGAAACACTCCACTGGAATACTTCACAGAAGTTTGACGGAATCTTTCAAACAATCTCTTAAAATGTTATAGCCTTCACTGATCAGTAAACAAACGATACAGCTCAGAAAAATGTTCTGTGTCCCTGTCAGTATACATACAAATCAAAGCAACAGACGGAAAATGCACAACCTGGAAAATTTAAGTATCTCACAGCTATGCTACCTTTGTAACAGATACTGTGACAAATGATATGATCTACATATACATGTGTTACTATTGAGGTACGGGATAACTCGTGAAACTGTATGTGTCCTGATCTCTGTACAAGTGTGACACGGCTGTACGGGAGTGCATGGAGGGACGTTTGTGCAGATTCTGTGTGATCGTGAAGCTGTGAAGAACCTGTGCTCAGCTGGACATTCCTGTGAACTGTAGCTGTTGGCCCATCTGTGAAGATAGATTAAAGTTAATAACACAGACATGGTTTAAAATAGTATAAAAGCATATTTTTCTGATTAACCATAAATTAGAAGTACTTCCATCGACCGTGGCATGATGCATTCCTCTTAAAGCTTTACATGGGAGTGCTGATTTCTGCTGCACTTTGCAGAACAAACCAGATTTTACTACATTATATATCATACATCTTTTTGGCAACAGGATAATAAAAGTTTAGTCTTCAGTTATGAGTTCTCATCCAAAACTAACTTTGGTCAAAAGAAGCATCTGAAAAACAGTGGGAGGACTATTCTAGAAGATTAGTATGGAACTGAACTCCTCTGCAGTCCATGAGTGTGTGAACGGTGAAGGTGTGAGGGGACAGAGAGAGGAGACTTACTTCCAGTACAGGAATCCTACCCACCTGAACCTGTGTGGGGTATGTGTACGTCATCGTGGTCTGGCCGTCTGTGGAGATGATGTTGGCAGCTACAAGGGAAAAGAACAAACAGTTTGTTTGCTTAGTACTACTATTAGAAGTAGTAGGGTCTTCATTACTGATTTTGCAAACATAATTCTCAGAGAGTCATTTTCACTATATACATCGGTGCCAATAAGGTAATAGGATCAAAACTTGTCCATTGTCAAAAGTTGCAATACAGGTCACCTATATATACACTAGGCATCTTTACATCAGTTCTGTCTGAAATGAATACTGTTTCAAATACAGCTTGCAGAAATCTGTACTTTGTGTAAGTTGCGACAGTAGTTTAGAAGGTACAACAATTACAAGACTTACTGAAAGACTCATCAGCCCCGAGGTCCGACGCGAGGCTCTCATCTCCAGCACCTGTAGTGGACGTATTCATCCCTCCCTTCTCTCCTTTCATGGACTGGGAGAAACAAAAGCTGTTAGTCTTACATACTTGAAGACAAACAACTGCTTCTACATTTTATCATAACCTGGTAGGCTGTATACTAGTAGTACATGATCAACATAAATCTTTGATACAAGATTATGTTACATTGTTTTTCCTAAGGCAACAGTACAATATATAGGAAGAGAAAGCTATGCCAGAGTTTGAACCACCTTTCATTGTTCACCAGTTAACTTGACTTGTAGTCTTACCTCCCTGTACTTCTGTAGGTACAGTTTGAGTGGTTCCACGTAGCTGTCAAACCCCAGCGTGGACATGGCAAACAAGATGTCCTCCCCGTTGATGGTCTTCCTCTTCTCCTGGTGACACCTGTCACTGGCTCTACACAGGTGGTTAGGGATCATGTCACTTAGACGTTACAGCTGCCCCTCTTATAACCCGTTTACCTCTTATTACTGTTACTGGGGTGGGCTGGGGGGGATGCAGGGTTCGAGTTAACATATGCTCAGGTACAAACCTCCATTAATTTTATCACCAAATTCAAATGCTTTCTGACCCCAACCACCCTTATGTTCTGGGCAGTATGGTATTTTCATGTTAAGTGCTTGTGTAAGAAATGCACACTGAATACACACACAATGTATAATAAATATCGAGACATAAAGGTCCTTTCTTGTAAACACATCCCCTTGATGACATGGCAAGCTAGCACAAGGCTGGTCAAAGGATACTCGCTTGTGATAAAACTGATGAATTCTGACACACACTCCTGAACACACTCTTTAGCGTCCTTGGCAATCTGTGGAGCCAAAAGAAAAAATTTCAGTTAAAAAGCAAGTAATTCCACTTACCTGAATATACTTATCTATGAAAGACATTTCTATCATTTGCTTGGCATAGAAGACAGTCATCTTTGACAACATTAAGAGTAAAAGAATGTATAGTACATTAAAAATGTAATTTCATACCCTTACCTAATTTAAAGAATTAGATTTTTTCACAAGTGTATGAATTTACTCAATTGAAATGTATTCATAGTACAATCATACTACATTGCTCAGAAAATCTACTTCAACAATGAATTTGACTGGATTAGAAGGAACTCTTTCTGAATACAATGAAAAACGTGTAAAACTATGTGCAACAAACTTTCTATATAGCACTTCTGGGTGTTTACAGTTATGTTTAAATGTGATAACGTGATATTAGTATGGTGGGTTAGTATGTATAACAATATTGTGTGCACTAGAACCTATCCTTTTTTAATGTGATTCTTTTTAACTTCACAAATATGCAGATGCTATAATGCATTGTGTTTTTGCATCTTGTTAGTGGTCTTGTACATCTACGAAACATATGTTAAGCAATTTAACTGCATTTTCATGTCTGCAGGAAAAACAACTTGAATCTACATCATTTTCATTCCGACTATTCACTATGTATGTATCAATTGTTACATGCAAATGCTTACACATACGAAAACTACTCAAACATGCATGTCTACATGGAGAATGTAGGTGTAACAACAACATTACCTTTTCTTTTTTGGGAATAGCCTTTCTCATAATGCGACTAATATTGTGAATGGGCAAAAACCGGTCCTGGGATTGAGCAGAAAAGAAGTGAAAACACAAAGTTAAAACTTGCTAGGCAGGCAGGGTGGGTAGCGATATACTCAGAAACATGCCACATTACCTTTGCCATTTTGGGGATAGAGTTTTTCATGATGCGACTGACATTGGCTATAGGCAGGAATCGGTCCTAAGAGTGGCGTAAGAAAGAAGGGCAGAGAACGCAACACACTTTAGGTGTCAGGAAAGTGGGGAGGCACTCTCTTCTGGTGCAGAATCGACTACCTATTTCCTAGCTGAGTCACACATAAGCCATCTGTTTCTACACACTACCGGTAGTGGTTACATATGAGATGTAGAAAGCTTGAGCATCACATTTGATGACACAGCCACATGTTAGGCAACATCTACCCATGGCAATTAATATTAGCATCATGCATGCAGAAAGCTATACATCATACACAGAATTTCATTACAAGGACTACTGTACCCTTTCATCTGTAGAAAAGTAAATGAAGAAGGATTTCTAATTTTCTATTTAAAAATCATGAAATAATACTGCATGTTGGGGTCTGTATTGTTAAGAAAATACAAGTTACATGCTATATCATAAACAGGAAAAATGATAAACACACAACTCAAACAAATTACTTCTCACAAAGATGAATGGCTTTAGTAGAATTACATATCTTTCTCCTTTCATGGTTGTATCAACTTTAAGGAAACATTTTCAATTGAACACACATCATTTTGAAAAAAAAAAAAAAAACATTCCAGTTATACTCTTGTTACTACATGTAGCTACTTGAAAAAGCGCCATACTTTATCTGAGTTGAGGTCAGTGTGACAGAAGAAGAGAACAGAGTATAGTCACCTGTTCCTGTAGAGGCTCCACGCCGACATGTTCACGGAGGCTGTCCCCGTCTTTATGCCCTCCGTCCTCGTCACCTCCGCTCGCTATACTGTCATTGGCCGACGCACCTGTTGCACCTGGGAGCATCAAAAGTGACAGGTGAGTTTCTAGTACTAGTATAGGCTTCAGTACAACAGACTAGAAAGGATATTGTAGTACAATGTACCAAGGATAGAAGTCCTCAGTGCCTGTTCTTTTGATAATTTTGTTTCGTTTGCAAACTTTTCATCTGCAAGGTTGTTACTGTTTTGAAGAAATGAAGTGTCTTCCTATACTGAAAGCTTTTAGATGTAGACTCTATCAAAATAAACTGAATTGACAAAGATGGATTTCTCAGGGCATTTAATAGTAATGGAATGCTCAAAGGTATCATTCAGAGTGAATACTAGTAGCTCTACTTACTATCATCCAGGACATAGCTGTAGTCGTTGGTCAGGAGACCTTGTGTGCCGTCACCTCCTTGTGGGGTTCCTTCTAAGTGAACAGCCATACTGGAAAAAAAGTGGCAATGTAAGATTTGCTGGTGGGACATTGCAGAAAATCCCAGAACCTGCAGACCAATATGTGAGTTCACTTCAGTGATCAAGAAGCTTTCTGAATCATGTATCTGGTATCTGTCAGTCAGTCAGTCTCAAAAGACAATGACTAACTGTGCAACAGGATAATACAATTCCAAATGTGTTTCATCATCATGTCCGACGGCTTGTTTACAGATCAAATCGAGCTTGGTCCAAGGTTAAGTTCACTGTTCAAAGGACAAGATATGGGGACTGTGTTGTCTCTGAATCATGTACAGAGTTTTGAGTACTAGTAGTACCTGAGAGTGCCACTTTCATCTGCTGTGTGATCTGTGCCTTGGTCCATTTGTCCCTCTCCACCACCATCCATGGGTCTGCAAGTTAACCCAGAAAATGGTAGGTTAACATGTAGTGTGTGTTGATAGATTGATATGCCATACAGGAGTGTGAAGGCTTCCTCCAGTCCTAGTCCTGTGATGTACTGGTCTTCAGTTTGAGTTAATTACCAGGACATAATTCATTATACTTGCCAGGACTCTCCGATTGCCCATGATCTTCACATTGGGAAGGCTCATCATATATAAGTTACCTGTTCCACTCAGTTAAAGATGTCATTTTCACTGGGGAGACGGGGAGCCCCTGGTTTACACGAAGTAGTCATGATCCATGTGACTAGCATCAAATTATGAAAAGGATGGGGATTCTATCCAGCGTTGATAGAACTTTTGAAAGAGGTGGCTCAGGGAATGTAGTTTATATATGGGCTTTCAAAAACAGTGCAAGGCTAAAATTTTACACACCGTTAAAAACTGACCTCCCTGTGTTTTAGCTGACAATAATATCATGCTAAGTTAAGCGTGGTACTAACTGACTATACAATGGGGGCTAGTAGAAGTATATGCTTCCCACCCGTGAGTACCCCCACCCCCTCCCTATACACTACAGTATCATGGCTTCCGACTTATTCTAAACAAAGGAGTATGAGGTGGTGACAGATGGTCAAAACCTGCGGGCAGCCGTTTCGAAACGGGTATAGGCAGCAAACAGTTTGCAAACATCGTCCCTGGATCACGATCTTACTGGATTTACGTTCCACAAGCCATAAACTACAACCTATACATCACTCGGGTAGTGTGGGCTGCCGGCTACCACCGCCGCACACCCCCGGCTCCAAACGGGCCCAGGCAAAAATTACAAATGGCGAATCTTCCGTCCCCCCTCCCCATCTCCTTCGTCCCATCCCCCCGCGTTTCGCACTTTCTCGTGCATCTATCAGCCCGCAGTCCGTTTGAAAGTGCAGCTAGAAAGTCACCATTGGTGGTTAGGAAGAACAAACCCGTGTTGGAGTGGGCGAACTGGTTGGCTGGCGGGCCGGGAGCCAGTGAGGAGGGAGCCCGCGGGAGTCTGTGGTTGGTAAAGCCTCAGCCAGTCGCCGCGCAGAACTGCCGCCCGCTGGCTACAACCTCCGGAAACACCCCCACTGTAAACAAATCCTTTTTGCCATATTTTCCAGATCACACATTTATATCGCATTTTATCTCCTGTAACACAATACATGCAGTATTGAAAATGTTTTTTGTTGGAAATTAGCGGCGTTATGTTTAAAAATTGAGATTAGATTATACATAACATTGGGATCCTAGGACGCTATGACAACAGATAGAACAGCCGAATGCTAGGAATCTGGCTGTTCCCTATCTGGACAAGCCCCCACTGGTCAGAAAGACTGCCAGCCTGATACTTCTTGAATGTATAGCGTATTTACAACTGCATTACTATAAAAATTGAGTCAGGTTTTGAAGCAAAATTATACTTTGTACTTTCTTTGATGGTCAGCGAAGCCAAATATACTAATATTTTGGGTGATGGTAGTGTATAGAATAGCGGTAACCTTTAACCTGGCCGGACATCAGTCATAAATCTCCCTGTGTGAGTGCGCTGGTTCGGAACTATTTCTTATGTTTTCCCACACGTCTACAATCATTAAGTAATAAGTTCAGCCATAATTTTTACGGCTACCATAGAATCTTCACAGACACAGACCTCTAAGTTAATAAACACACTGCTTTGACCGCTGTGTCCCTAGTCAAACTTTGACTGAGGCAATGTTGTAATGATATGTATCAATCCGCGACGCCATGTTTACAAATGTTCGAGTGAAAGTTTCAGTGTAGACTGGCACATGAATGTTTTTCCCTCGAAAACAGGAAGTTTCGACGTGTTAGGCTAACCCAGTGATCACGTACAGAGGACAGGGAAACATGTTTATCACTGTGAAGATATTACAAGGCAGAGAATGTTGCATAGAAGTAAGTATATCCATGGAAATAATTTAGAAAGCAGTTTTTTGGGGAGGGGGGCCGGGGGCAAGGTGTGCATGGTGTGAGAACGGAAACAACAAGCACGTCTTCTGCTTAGCCAGTCTATCGTTGTGGGAACTGGAATCTTGTAAATATTTCGTGACCATTTTGTAGATGTTGGTCTATCATGTTGATCCAACCATTTTTCTTGACCTTATGAGGCCATGCTGTTGTATCTTGCAACATTATATAATATTTTGCTGTCATAAATAAAATTTGTATTACATCGATTTCTGTGGACTTAGAACTTTGATATATAGTGTCACCAAACGAAATACATTATAAACGATATCATAATGTGGAAATTAATAGAACCATCAAAGCCTTTTTTTTACAATCTTACAAAGCAGTGCTCAGTAAAAGTTACGAGTAGTACTAGTACATGATCAGTCAGTATCATAATGATAATATCATCTCTGGTTGTTTGTGTACAGGTGGCAGATGCAGACTCTGTTATGTCAGTCAAGCAGCTTGTAGCTAGAGAACTCGATGTGCCAGTGGACCAGCAGAGATTAGTTTTCAGGGGCAAGACCCTGTCAGGTAACGTACCATTTTACTTTCATGTACCTTCATTTGTAATAGAACACAGCTATCCAATACACTTGGGATGGGTGACTGTCAGAGAATGAAAACGTTAGGATCATACACCCTAATGTCTGTTTGTAAATTACTAGTAGTACATTCATTCATTCAGAGTGGTACTAGTATCTGATGAGTAATCATGTTACATTTATACATGTGCTAATGTGGTCAGGGGCTGAAAACTGGCAATGTAATAAAGATTAGAAATAAATTCAGTATGCAGAATGTGATGACATATACTGGTGTTCATAAGTGATAATGAACTATCAATAAGACTCACATGTATAAAATATTGGGAACTGAATTTTGGGTGAACTTTCACTTTGTGAAATTATTAACATTATTAGATTATTAGAATTATTAAAATTAGAATTATTAGGATTGTTAAAATTATTAGAAGAAATGTAACTTATGATTTACTGTTTCCACAGATTCACAATGTCTTGGAGACTACAACATAGGACCAGATGCCAAAATACACCTCATGGTTCGTAAAGTTGAGAAACAGCAAAGCAGCACAGAATCCACAGACAGGAAGGATACAACAGTACTCTGGGCAGAGACAAAAAAGTTGTTGTTAAAACATTTTAGCCCCGAAGACGCAGACAAGGTCATGCATAATTTTAGAAGGGTGAGTACATGAAATACAGTATCATATCCAAGCATTGTATGTAGCACATTAGGCATAGTGTAACTTAATGCTAGTTTTCCCTATTTCTGTGTGTGTGTGTATGTGTGTAGTGAGTGAGTTTTTTTTGCACTAACCTTTAAAAAGAGTGTTTTGGAAAGAAAATTCTACTGGCAAAATTGAAGGACATTTAATTTTCTTCTATGTTACAATTCCCTTTCAGAACTTTAAAAAGAACAGAAACAAGTGTAAGTCAGGATGAAAGTCTTTTTCGAAAGCAGAGTTTCGTAAATTGTATTCAAAATCATATGTTGTGTAATTGACTAATATTCAACATACATGTTTTTTCTCTTCCTCTAGGAATTTGAATCTACAATAGCAAGTGTTAGCCTGGATGATCTAGAAAGAATGGCAACAGCTAACCTTCAGAAACGGCATTTCCTTGGTGACCAGTCAACTTCATCATAGGACTCAATGACACCTGTGCCATTCATGGACATTTTGTTTCCCATTGGATGCTAGGAGCATTATGTGAGGAAGGAAGAGGAGAAGCTGTCAACACGTAATGTTGGAACTTTTAAGAAGTCATGTATCTTGACACTGTGCCACCAGTATGATTCTATCAGCCTTAGGTACAACAACTGAAGTATGTGACATGCACCCTAATTTCAAATCAACAAATCCAGGGACTCCAGACAAGTTTTATCCTTAGGGTCATTGTCAGGAAATTTTCCTTCATATTTCTTGAAACAATCTAGGTTAGTATTTGAGGTAACAGCCAGAGAACATCTTATAGATCACGAAATCACGGGTAACACAGGGGCAAGTGACACCTAACCATAACAATGCATATGCAGTGCTTGTGTGCTGTAATGATTTTGTTTGCCCTGTGATTTTTCCAGAGTTCTCCATATTTCCCAGCATACAAAGGCATTTGTAAAATGGTCTTTGGAACAGGGTATGTTGTACATGTACTGGTAGTGGTATATTGTTGTATTTTACATTGTGATTTTTTCCTGCTTTCTTATGTTTAATAACATTCATTGTGTCATTGGTATTGTAATTGTCTCAGCACTTACTAGTATTAGTTAGTAACCCATTGAAGAATTTGGACATCAGAAATGCAAAATAAGGTATTTATGTATATTTAGTGTTTGGCTTCATTATACTTGGTTTGTCAACACATTTCCGGGATCCATAGATCACTATGTTGCTACCAACTTGTACCAGGACTTTGGATATATCCCAAAATTACTTTGCAATTATTCCAAAATGTAATCATATTTATTTGTAAATTAATGAAGAACGTGCTACCAATGCATTGCTCTTCGTAACATAGTGCATATCGGAAGGGAATGTATCTTCTCATGTTGAATGTTGGTAGATGTACAATTTGTACAATTTCCATCCAGCGTACTTGTAATGTTATACCCACCCAATCTTGCTGCACTTAATCTTTGCAGGGCAATCTTTTTAACTGAAGAGCTGTGACAAAACCATTTTTTAAGCAAGAAGAGGGGACTTTGTTTTGAAACAAGCACCACCAGTTTGTTTATGGTGATGAACATGGCAATGCTTTACTGATTTCTGAAGCATGTTTATAAAGACATTGGTACAAGGTGTAATAAAATGAAGCAAGGACCACAAACCACTACTGCTGTTGGTCTAACTTTGTCCTCAGTGAAAGGAAATATTTTTTGTACAATGTAATTATATATTGTGAGACCATAGAGTAGAGGTCTATTTTTTGCCTTGTCAAATGTTATTGCATCATTGTCAGCATTTTTTTGGTGCAAGTCAAACAAAGGAGATGTCAGCTGACATATGATATAGCCATTGGCTCTGTTCCAAGTACAAAATGTACTAGGTTGTCTTATTTGGAGTTACACCCATATATACGAAGCATACACCTAGTTCTACCTCACGTCTACTAAGAAACTAGCCTGGATGCCATCCGGTTTGTAACGGCTATCCCGAAAAAATCTTTCGGGGTAGCCGTTACAAATCAGATGGCACCCAGGCTACTAACAAACTAATGATATGTGACATGAGATCCTTAGTGAATGTCATCTACAAAATGTAAATTATACGGTAAAACAAGGATGATCTTACATGAGCAAAATTTTTAAAAATAAATTTCAAAATGACCCTGCAATTTTTGAAATGTCAGATTTTCCACTGGATGATGAATTGTATCGAAGTTCAAAGTCTTGAATGTCGCTGCGTCACTTTGGGCACGTATATTGCACAGCACAGTGACTAAGCACTATTAAAACTGATCTTGCTCAGGATAAGGAGTGACCCAGTTCTGAGTACTCGTGTATTGCGTAATCTTTGACGTCACGCTCTACGCCCTCACCTTATCCCTACAGTCCCACTCCCGGCATGCTCAAAATACATATATATCGTTCATTTCTGGTGATTTTATCATTACCAGATAAATGTTTATGATAAAAATGTATGTAGGATACGATATGGTCATCATATTTGTAGTTTTTATGTAATAGTTTATGTACAAAAGTAGCTACAAGGTCTGTGAGGTTGAAATAGCCATCGCGGACTAGGGTAAGAATATCCCCTCGAAAAACTTGGCGCGCTGACTGCCGGGTGACCCGGGTAGCGCAGAGCCGGAGGTGGCCGACGTAAGTTATAGAAGCATTTTCACCGCATCCTGTTGCTCCACAGTACCATCAACAAAGGTGTGGTATAGGCGAGAAGACACAGTTTCAGGAAGACCGACTCCTCAGCGAGGCAGTGCCGTGACCGTCGCGGCAAGATTAAGCGCACGTCGACCGAGACCTCAGCGGGCGAACGCGCGGCTAAGGCCCGAACTCCCGCCAACATGCCTCCGGTGACCGCGAACGGCGCCGACCTGAAGGCGGCGATACAGAAGTACATCGCCGACAACAAGGTTATGGTCTTCAGCAAGTCCTACTGCCCCTTCTGTAAAAAGGTAAGATTCTCTCGTATCTTTTTTAATCGCATTGTAACGTTTCAAACCTCCAGCTTGAGCCTCACAAAAATTTGCGACCCGAGTGGGAGGGGGGCGTGCACATGTGATTTTTTTTCGTGAGAAGTCTCGTGGAATTCTTCTCGTTGTTTTAACGCACTCTCAATGGTGCGTGTTTCCTTTTGTACAGGTGAAGGACTTGTTCAACTCTCTAAGTGTGACGTACACGGCTCTGGAACTGGACCAAATAGGTGAGCTCAGATGTCATGATGATAAGACAAAAAGCAGTGAAAGTGGGCATGGGTCTAAGAACCGTATTTTTCGCTGAACTGGACCAAATTTTACTCATGTTACTGTATATGATCAAATGTAGAAACTAAAACGCGAGGGATCACAAACCCATCCTCAAAATTTTATTTCATTATGTGAATCATAGCTATAATGTTATAGCAAATAGGGAATTTGCTTGTCATTGATTGATGACAAATACATATTTTTCCTCTCAATACACCTGTCATGATGAATTAGTTAACTATTAGTTAGTATTAGTTACTATTATACACGAACAACAGGATGATTTCATATGGACATTTAAATGATTGATGCCTATAGAAAGTTTCCCTCTTAATAGCCTAAATCCATTAAAAATTATGTAGTCATTTAATCCAAGGTTTTTCAATGTACAAATGTATTTATACTTATAGTCAGCTTGTGGAATTTAAAAACCTAAGGATATAACGTTACATATACTAGTAACGTTATTTATAAAAGAATTGTCATCTGCATTTGACAACAGATCAGTGAGCAATTAGGCTATGTGTGAAAATAGAAACCTGTTGCTAGCCACTAAATATGCCCAGCAGCTTCATCGTATCAAATCATATCAAGTAGAAATAGCAACCTCTCTCTACCAACAGGTATCAAATATGGCTGTTGCTTATGCTTTGATATTAAAAGCAGCATCAAATATTGTACTCTCACAAGAAGTGACATTACTGTTCCAACCATTCAGTGTCTTAATTACTGCACTTCCTATTGGGAGTGGGAAAGCAGCTGGTTTATACAGCGTCTTTGTAATTTTGACACTTGAGTATTTGCAGAAATGACAAATCAAGATGGCTTTTCACTGTGCAAACATTTTTAGCAACAAAGGACATTGTTTGATTTGAACCGTATTGTGGGATGTAATTTTGTGTTAGGGTTTTCCTATGGAGAGTTTTAAGTGGGAGTGAATAACAGTCCACCTGGACTATTTTAGACAGAGGAAAATGGCAGTAAAACAGTCTTTCAACTACACCAATCACACGCATTGCACATTTTGTATGTTAATGGTTACTCCAGCTAGACTGGAGATTATTCCCAAAATTTAAGTCAAATTTTGCATTGAAATGAAATTAGATAATTTTCCTTTACTCAAGGTTGTACTGAATTCAGAAATGTATCTTTTGTTATTAAAAATGCAACATTTGAGCATTAAATATTTTTGTTGTTTGACAGAAAATGGAGGAGACCTGCAGAATGCCCTGCATGAGTTGAGTGGGCAGAAGACGGTTCCCAACGTGTACATCAACCAGGCGCATGTGGGAGGGTGTGACGACACGCTCAAGCTCCACACTGACGCTAAACTCTTACCCATGCTGTCAGAGAACACGCAAACGTACGACTACGATCTGATCGTGATCGGAGGGGGATCAGGAGGGCTGGCTGCCTCCAAGGTCTGAGACTTTAATTACACTGTGGTGGGGTTTTATGATTACTGTTAAGCAATATGCAACCACACACACACATACTAATATGTACAATATACAACTGTTCCTTCAATACTGCTGAAGAAGACCACTCACAGGGCCAATAAAATCTGGTCTATGTGGACAGGTGGTCACTATACACAGGATTCGTAATGCTTGCTCACTTGGAAAAATCATCTAAGGGACCACCAAAAAGTTGACAGTTAACTTGTCACAATGGCCATGTATGTAGTCACTGGTATCACAGGTTGGACTGTCATTCAGAAACCATTGGTGTTTTTCACTTAGATTTACTGTCGTTTAACTCACAGAAAATCAACCTGGCGCCCATTTTTGTTTTTCAGGAGGCAGGCAAGCTTGGGAAGAAAGTGTTAGTATGTGACTTTGTCAAGCCGTCACCTATTGGAACAACATGGGGTGAGTTTTGTTAGCTGTCAAGAGCTAAAAAGATCAATAAATCAATAATATTCAACTAGACATATCCTGCTAGCCACCTGGTGTGGATACAGAAATGGCAAAGAAATGGAAGTTGTGAAGTAAACATTTCCAGGTGCAACTGTTGCAAACAAGTACATATTTTATGAAGTAACTGGAGAGATAGAGAAAGACAGAAACAATTTGATGAATGACTACAGATTCCTAAAGGCATTAATGCTCAAAAACTGCTTGCTGTGGAATAAATAATGTTACATTGAGAAGTGATTTGTATTAGCCAAATAGTCCAAGACTGAAATCATGCAAAGCATGAAGAGACATGAGTTAATGTTGTGATTTTGTTTGTTGACCTACAGGCCTGGGAGGCACCTGTGTTAATGTAGGATGTATTCCCAAGAAGCTCATGCACCAGGCTGCACTACTGGGTAAGTTTTTCGTCACAATACTAGTATGTACAATGAGTGTTGTTTGATGAAGTGAAGAAACATTTTTTTATGAAGTGGAAAATAAACTTTGTTGCTGTCTGCCCTGAATGAACAGTTTTTGTGCCTTGAATTGGTGGGCTTGGTTTCTCTTCATCAACTATAAGGAAAGATGGGAAATGCTAAAAGTTCTTCATGATTTCTGGTATGATTTGACACATCTTTTTTCCAGTTGTGACATCTTTGTCCTGTTTTTATCCTGTTGATAGGTCATGCTGTTGATGACTCCAGGAAGTTTGGATGGGAGGTGCCAGAAGCAGGTGAGAGCATGAGTTGGCCTGTCTTTAGATGGTTGCCTACATCAGATTACTTGATAGAAGAAAAACAAAATGAAACACAGGGTTAAAATGAGAAAAGGTTGTTCGTATTCATGGTAGGATAAGGATTTCCCATAGTTATGCATGCAAATCACTCGTTTTCATTCAAATGTACAAAATGCTGTCGCCACTCTTTACGACTAGGTATGAGCCAAATCATGGACCTCATCGTTGCTTTCTTCACTTTTCCACTACACTTACTATGTTTCACGAAAAATGTACCACAAACCCAGGTTTGATTGATGACTTGAGATAAATTATGGTCGCGGGTTGGATTTCTCCCCCTAAAAAGCGGCTGTCGCCTGAGACGAAATAGAAACTTTAAAAAGCAGCCTAAAACGTAGCAATTTGATTACGGCAGTAGTTTTCTGCCTGATGAAGTTGGATGGCCAGGCCCTCTGACTAATCAAGTCAGATCGCTCCTGTCACTATTCCTGTACGTCGTGCGAGGTGGTTCATACCTGTCGCCAAGTTCTGTAACATCCGTTACCGCTCAAGTAAGACGGTCGTGCAGTTTAGATAGAGTCACATATAAGACAAGAAATTGCCATTTTGATGACTTTTAGCAAGTTTTCTAGGTTTCTAAGAGAAGATGAAAAGAGTGTGTGCTGTCATTTGTAGCTACCTTCGCTGAACAAATTGTTTTACAGTAATGAATGTAACATCCGTTACCGTTGTTTTTACTTTCAATTTTAGTTACTTCACCTGGTATATAAAAAGTCGCCCAGTTTTAAAATGTCCGTACTTATGCCCCCTTGTTCTCAAAGGATGAAGATAAAAACTGCAGATCTTCTGGAGAAATAAACAAAAACGTCCGTTTTGTAACATCCGTTACCGGTAATGGAAGTTACACCTGTAGCGGAAAAGACGTAACAAGAGATTGAATTTCCCTTCCCTATGCACCATAAACATAATAGTTGGAAATAAAGTAGAAAAAATATGAATCCGAAGAAAAATAACCCTCTGTGGCGTCAACAGACTCTACTCTTCTTTGCTTCCAAAGATATTTTTTGCTACTTCTATACACTGCATTTAGCTATCTTCATGTGTTCGATACGTGTAAATTTACCAGTAAATAATGGGTTGACAGAAGTACTTTCATAGATACTGACGTCTAAACTAATGGCTTTTGAGGTGATGTCATGAATACGTTTACCCAATTCATGCTGATGTTCCAGCGTTTTTGCCGCACTAAAAATTGCATTGTTTACATATGTCTTATCTAAGTGCATAAATTTTCGGTAACTTCCCGTGGCAATTAAGCTGTCCTTTTTTGGTAATCATTAATTGAGATGTTTTCCTAAAAAATAAGGTAGGTTTGCCTGAAAAAACAGATCATCGATTTTTCGACCCAAAAAATCACCATTTTGTACATTTCAATGAGAATGAGCCAAATGCCCTCACAGTAATGCCAAGTACTACATACGAAACCCAATGTACTGTTATTAAAATGTAATGTTTTTCTGTTCTCTCTTACTAGTGAAACACAACTGGAACACAATGAAAGAAGCCATCCAGGTTAGTTACATGTACATCTGTTACATCCAGGTTTATGTTGTTTGTAATGTGCCATGATGTCGCATAAAGCAAGAAAGCTTCAAAGCAGAGTTTAAAGACATAATTTTTCTTATTTCATGAAAATGTTTCGAATAATCTATTTTTTTTATAAATGAAGATGTTCAAGATATTACCACCTTGCATTCTACATGTATTGGTCATTTAGTTTCAATGAAATATATGGATGCTGATACGAATCAGTTTAAGTAATGACCTCTTTTCTTTTTTGTCTGTTTGTATAGAGTTATATTGGATCCCTGAACTGGGGCTACAGGGTGGCCCTGAGGGATAAGGATGTGAAGTATGAGAACGCCTACGCTGAGTTTGTGGATCCACACACTATAAAGGTGGGTATTTTCTTCTACTGTTGATAACACATACTGTGAAATAAGCTGTGTAATACAGCAAGTTGTGTGGGAAGAAATGTTTAAGTAGCATCATAGACATACTCACATAGCTAAGAAGAGGAAACAAAACCTGTGGTATTAAATAAAACACAGCACATCAGTGTAATGACTTGCAGTGAACACCTGCAAACAAAACCATGTTTACCACGATGGTAACTAATATTGTTTTGCAGACAGTGAACAGGCGAGGGAAGGAGAACACAGCCACAGCGGAAAGGTTCCTGGTGGCAGTAGGGATGAGGCCGAGGTACCCTGACATCCCAGGAGCTAAGGAGTACGGCATCACCAGGTAAGGGGAGAGTGAGAGAAGGACCTGTACTGTTTTAGACAAGTCTGGCAGGCTCTGTGTACGCAAGGTGTGACTCTTCTCAAACACAGGACCTCCATTTAATGTCTTATCTGAGGGAAGTCCCCAACCAAAGCTAAGTACTATTTCCACTTGCACAAAATTGGTGACATGGCAGGATTTGAACCCGGGACCTCTTGGTTCTGAGGCAAACACTGCATCACGCCATTAATAATTATGCCACATGGACCCCGTATAGACCCTTCAGCATCTATAGTGACCACCTGTTCACATAGACCAGATTTTATTAGTCCCCTGAGTGGTCTTGTTGGGCAGGTTTGACTGTATATGGGTTATTTATTTATTTTTAGACATTAGATTCTACATTGCCATATTCAGTATATTGGATCAACGTAACAAACACCATGCTCAATATTGTTTTTTCAACCAAAACATTTAACGTTGTGTGTCTCCTGCAGTGATGACCTGTTCTCGCTGCCCTACTGTCCCGGGAAGACCCTGGTGGTTGGTGCGTCGTACGTGGCGCTGGAGTGTGCGGGGTTCCTGCGGGGGATCGGCCTGGACACCACCGTAATGGTACGGTCCATCCTGCTGAGGGGCTTTGACCAGCAGATGGCTGAGAAGGTCGGCGCCTACATGGAGAAGGGAGGGATGAAGTTCATCAGGGGCTGTGTGCCCACCAAGGTCAGGGTTACTGACTTACAGCTTTTTTTTCTAGGATATTTTCTTTTTCACGACCAACTTTTGTTGGTGTCTACCAGACACCTTCCTCGGAGCTCCTGGCTGGAGTTCTGCTTCTTGATGCCATATGTAGCCAATATAGGTGGCGCTTTAGCATCGAGAACACATCCCAATTCCAAAACGTGTCTAAGTGTTGTGTAGCCTGCATGAAGACGGCATCTTTTTTCTTCTTGACACACAAGAAAGGGATTAAGTACTGACTGAAATGAAAAAGGTCCAAAACCTCCTTTCTCGTAAGTCGTTGGCCGCGAGCCCATTTTTCAGACAACTGATGTTATTTCCTTTTCCCCCTCTTGTAGGTGGAGCGGCTGGAAGAAGGGCAGCCTGGGAAGCTGCGAGTGACAGGGATGCAAGATGGGAAAGAAGTGGTCTGGGAGGGCAACACGGTAAGGACCCTTCTGGTGATGTAAACCCCTTTGTTAGGAAATCGTAGACAGCTCCTTGGGTTTTTTTATACCTATGGCTGTCTTTGGTGTCAGACATTTTATTTTAGTGAAAGGTTTGACCTCATTGTTTGAATTCTTTCCTCCTCAGATACTGTTTGGCATTGGGAGGGATGCTGTCACAGAAGGAATACACCTGGAAAAAGCTGGAGTACAGTTCAACACAAAGTAAGCATATCTGAATGTGTCCTTCTTCTTTTACTTTACAGTTCACTCTGTTTACATGTTCAGCACATATGAGAGTGGGCTAGCCCTCTGCTGTAGTGCTTGCACAATTATGACATCCAGAAGCTATAGAAATGGAGGTGGGCATTGATCGCCCTATACACCAAAAGAATTTTAACTAACATTGTTGTCAGCAAAATGTATGAGACATTCAGAAATTCTTGTTTTTGACTTTCAGGAATGGTAAGATCTACGGGAACGATGAGGAACAGACAAACCAGCCTCACATCTATGCAATTGGTGACGTCCTGGAGGGAAAGTTGGAGCTGACACCAGTCGCCATTCAGGCTGGCAAGCTGCTGGCACAGAGGCTGTACGGGGGCTCACAGGCTAAAGTAAACATAGCAACACTTTGTGAAACTTAATTTTAAAATAATTGTAGTAGGTATAAATTATAAGTGGAAGTTGAATCACCGCTAATATCTAACAATCCTAAGAGACTTATCTACTTTTATAAATAAAAGTGAAGACACTCTAATTATGATAATACCCTAAACTTATACCGTAAGGACCGAAAGAATATTATAATGTCACCAACTCATTTTTTAAAACTCTACCCTGGGGTTATTTCATTGTTGAAATTGACGGGGCCAGGGGGAGGGGGGGCAGTCAGGAATGCTTTCCTAAACCTGGCAGGATCCTACAGTGAAGGAAAATATATTGTTTTGTGTAATGCTTTGGGGTGAATATTTTCCTTTCCAAATGTTGTTCTGTCACTATAAGATTGCTGTATTATTTATAATACATATCTAAAAAGTATTTGACTTCTTTACACCCCCTAGACGGACTACGTAAATGTTCCCACAACTGTCTTCACCCCCCTGGAGTATGGGGCCTGCGGTTTGTCAGAGGAAGATGCCATTGCAAAATACGGGGAGGACAACATTGAGGTGTACCACTCCAACTTCCAGCCCCTGGAGTGGACCGTTCCAGGTTACGACCCCAACGACTGCTATGCAAAAATCATCTGTAATCGTCAGGACAATGTAAGTATCATTACTCTGGGAGTCTGGTAGAGATTAAGTTCAATTGAGCAGCCCAAAAGTTGAAAAAAGTTGTCTTGTAATACTGTACTTACCCTTTTGTAGGTTCATGTTAATCATTTATTTGCTGCCTGTATACTTAAGTAGGCAGAAAGCTTATAAAGCTAGTGCAAATATATTTTGTACATGGCTGTGAGTAATTTATGTCTTGGGAAAGTATAACAGTTGTTATAGTACAACAACATTATACATTATAACCAACTTCCAAATAGACTGAGTCGGTTGAGAATATAATCTTCCTGTTCTGTTCCTGCCAGGAGCGAGTGGTGGGCTTCCATGTTCTCGGCCCCAATGCCGGGGAGATCACGCAGGGCTACGGGGCTGCCATGAAGTGTGGGATGACCAAGGCTCAACTGGACACCACCATCGGGATCCACCCAACCAATGCTGAGGTAGGTATCCACATAAATTGTATAAAAGAAAAGTAATTCCTCTGACATAAGGTATGCATGTGTATCATATTTAAGGGCCATTCAGAGATATCTTTAGTCTCAAATGGTGGTATTTCGTCTCATACATATGTCAAATCTATCATCTTTTTTTCCTTAACAACAATGTTTCTTAACATTTGACTGTCAAACACTTTCATTGCATTACTTCCTTCTTTGCAATGCCCTTGTATTATATTGATGTACCAACTAAGTAATACTATAGATTGACTTGAATTCAGGAAGAGACACAGTAATTATCATAAACACATCTTGAATCCTGAAGCTCTATATGCTTTTCTGTTTGTCCAGATTTTCACAACGATGGACATCACTAAGGGCTCGGGGGAAGACCCCACCAAGACTGGCTGCTGAGGTTAAGCCCCGCTGTTGCTCGTCCCCGGCAGATCAAAAGCCACCTCTAACCTTTAAGATAAACGTACAGGAGCCAGAATTATATACATGCTTGCTGCTCAGGTTGTAAGGAACAAACACATTCTTGCTCACAAAAGGAATTCACTCTCACTGACTTGATTTCTGTGGGTGTACATCTTTACTTGTGTTGGAAAGACGGATAAAATTTAAGCGATGCTCAAATCATCCTCTTCTATAAGACACAGACTTTGTCAATGTGTGATACAATTGACAATGTCCATGTTTTAAAACAAAGAAAACACAATGTGGTATCACCACACATGAAACCATACTTCAGCCTTGTAATTTATATTATCATAAGGTGAAGCAAACATCTGGCTCGTTACTGTAACATAAGAGGTGGCAGCCATGTTGGTCTGCAAGTCAAGGGGACAAGAAGCAATAGCGGGGGTGAAACTCCAAACTCACCAAAGGTGGTGACACAGCATAGCACGTTCCTGCCGTAAAACTCAGCAGTCTTTTCAACACTGTGACTGTCAGGTTAACAGAACAGCGGTAACCATTCAAGATTGGATCACACTGATATGACGAAAAAGAGTACACTTGTAAGTGGAAATTGAAGAGAGATCTTTGTGATTAGCCTGTGTGCCATTCTGGTTACATAGTGTCTACACTGGTAGTTGCTTGTTTGCGACTATTAGAGCAGATGTAAACTAACCACTGTTTTGTTAAAGTTCTTGATGGTCAGGACAGTTGTGACTGAACAGCTGATGAGTTTTTAAGCAAAGTGCATTTATGACGGTCTCCTTTTCAAACCCAGATCTGGGCTAGAGGAGACTTGAAACTGCTGTGTGTACCACCTGGTAAACTAAGTTTGTAGATTAAATATACAATGGTACTATGTATCTTACACATTTCACCTGTATAAATGCCTTGAAGCTCTTCCAATGAAAGCTTTGAATGAGTTTGAAATGAAGCTTTTGTCATAGGTTGGTGAACTCTGTTACTATGTACCGTTTAAATTAGTGGATCACAGCCACAATTCCTTAATCACTTGTCTTCACAATCCTCAAATCAGATGATATGTATGCTCTCTAGGACAGTTTCTAAGATGACATGCAAACTTAATGTAGAAAACCTACAGCATTTGTGGAATTCTGATTTATTTTAGACGAATCAGGAAATGTGAGAAATGGATTATTACACTACTTTCCTATGCACAATGATTACAGGTAAAAAAGCCTTTGTTGTTTTCTCATTTCTGTTTCCAAGTCTGTCAGTAAGGTTGTTGTAGCCTTCTTTGTTAGTAAGTACATATATAAATAAGTTTGCTTGTGGCTAATTAACTACTTCTCGAGTAAAGTTTGTAGACGGGAAAATTACCAATAAGTCTAACCTTTTTATTGGGATCATGTAGAACTTCAATAATGGTAAATAATTTTCACTTCACCATGGAAGTTTGGTTAAACATATACCAAACAAATGGTAAACAATTATCACAAGGTTAACCTCCATGATGCATAGAATATCAGGTGTCTAAGAGCATTGTAGCATGATACAATATACACTTCTGGTACTTAAAATAGCCTGCTGTTACACCAGGTGTCTTACTGCAAGCAAAATACAATTGACGAGAATTCCCTTATCCTTCTGTGAACTGGTCTTGTTTTGTATCAACACTGCAGTATTATAACTCATTACACTCACAAGGATCTAGCACAATGCGTTATGGAAACCTGAGTCTGTAAGTAACTACATTAACCATTGCATTTGAGAATATCCTAACGTATTTTGAATTGCACTTAAGATTAGATGGATATGTATTGGTCTAGAAAATATTCTGTGTGAAAATTGGGGAACATGGCCCAAAAGGGGCCACATGAACATGTATAGGAAGACACGTACTTAACACTTACAGAGTGTTACTACTAAGATACATGTATCAATGGAAGCTCTCTCTCTCTCTCTCAGTCAATATCATCATCAAAAGATGTAACAACAGGATGTTTCAGTTCCAAATTTGTTTACAGATCAAATTTGAGCTTAAAAATACAGATCAAATTTGAGCTCAAAACTGAAGCTAACCTACAGTGAAACAGTTTGACTGGGCTATCTAACCAATGCCCCTGGTAGATCCTGCCGTGTGGACACAGCTCGACAGATGCAGAACGTTGCTATCAGAGAAACGACGATCATGAAGTAGAAGGTGCCCTCCCAGCCGTACCACTCTGCTATGGCTCCGATGATGGGACCCTGCAACACTGTACCCACACTGCCAAAACCTACAGGGAAAAAAAATGACAAGATTGTGTTATTCTAAAAATAAAAACAGAAGATAAAGATAGCTTTATAAAGCTTTAAACAATGTTAGATAGACAGAGGCTAGGTGTAACAAGTCAACTTCTGATATAGCCAGCTGCCATTGCGCCGTGTGCCTACGAAGCTGGTGTGTTATGTGGAGGGGGGGCAGTTATATTGGCTATGCTGATACAAATACAGAAGGCACACATTAAACTACAGAACAATTGGGTAACAACCTGATCAGGCCCACAGTTGAACAGCAGCATACACATGACATTAAAGGTATAAGACAAGGTTCTCACCGTTAATGAACCCTGAGATGGCGGCGTGTGCATTCCTCCCATCCTTGTCCCCCAGCTGTGTAGGTAGTGACCCAGTCAGGATGGCATCAGGCCCACAGTTGAACATCCCTGTCAGCAGCATACACATGACGTTGAAGGGTATGCCCCAGGAGGCGGTGAGGAGGAACAGGATCAGGGACAGGGTACTGAACATGATGACTGTAGACACCCCCTGCAGACTGTCACCATGGAACAGTCTGCGAGAAATAAACGGAATGATCAGGAGATTTAAAGGCATCCAATGCAATTTTAAGGTAGCAAAACAAAATATTCTGGATGAGGAAATCTGATATTGACATTTAATCCAATTTCGTAGCACATTTCAAGTGTTTGAAATAGCCCAGAAATAAGCTACATGAGGAGTCCCTTTGTTTTTTGGGTACCACCCATGAATCTGAAAAGCTAGAACCAGATTACAATACAGAAGCGACTGTTTTCTGTCAACGTACTGCATTTTTGCCTCACAGAAATCGGTATGCTATGGAATAGGGTTGATTAAACTTACTACAGGAAATTGAGTCGACTCAACTTTACATGCCTGAAACAAGGAGAGGAACGAATAATACTCACTTATCAATGAACACTCCCAGTGTTGCACTTCCCAACACACCACCAATCTCAAATGAAGTAGACAGCAACCCTGCTTGAGCTTTGCTGTAATGAAGCTGAAAAAGTTTACAACAAGTGTTGAAAGATAAGAGTGAGCCAAGGATCTTTACAGGGCTTTTAATAAAGGGCTTCTAAAAAATACAAGTTAAAGTATGTGGGCAGTTTATGCATCCATGCTCACCTCTTGAAACAAGTACATAGGCAGCCACATCAGCAGACAGTACCTGACAATCTTTACAAAGAAGACAGTAGCAGCCAGCTCTGGTAACATTCTGGGAAAGATACAGAAGAACATATATACTAGTACATCAACTTACAATTGAGGCACCTTTTATTTTTTTTATAAACACAGCATTTTGTTAAAACAACCACCTGTTAGTATGAAGTAAGGGACATATAAGATAACATATAACCTAACTCTTGGTAAATTCAAATCATCAGTACATAGACAACAAACCTGCTACCTACTTTATTCCCAACAGTTGCCAGAATTTGAGGGAAGTGGTGTTTCCTGCTTTAGACACTGGCTCTGGATCTGACAAGTTACAAAGCAGATATTAGTGGTAGTTTTGCAGGTCTGATCACACATAAAACTTTCATACATACTTATGTTAGAGTAGTACATGAACAGCAAACATTGTAGCCCACATGCAGCCATGGAATGTTCATACAAAACATACAGTGTACGAGCAAACAGGTAGCATCCAATACCTGTGAGTTTTACCTTTTGGTCCGTCAAGGTATGTTCTACAGTAGGTTATTAATACAATTTCATTCTGCTAATACCTACATGCTATTGTCCAAACAGTGTTTGGTATATTATTTGCAAGTGTTAGGAAAATATGAAAGAGATGCTCACGCCTGTATTACCAGCACTAACATTTCTTAAGTATGTCAAACTACAGGTACATGTATGTGAGATTCATTTCATTCCACGAAGTTAGCTGTGGTCAACCTCATTCTGCATTCCTGAAGACAATATCTTCTCATATCTTTCTGACATGTTAAATGATTAGCCTGCATCAGCCAGCAAAAACTCTAGGGCAGTTCACACTCAGAAGGGCCTTACTACCAGCATATAGGACAGGAGTCCTGTGTGTTCTCTGGGCCTGCAAGGTTCTCATACTCTCCCCGTAAGGAGTGGACACCATGGGGCGGCTGTAGGAGGGAGCTGTCTTTGTAGCTAACACAGGAAGTGGCAGAAAACTTGGTGTTTTAATGCACTTTTGATGCATGATGATACACATGTACAGCCAGGGTGCCATCCTCTTTGTATTCCATATTATATTTAGGGAGTGAGTATGGGAGCCCCAGGTATACAAATAGGATGGTACCTAGGCTAACCTACGTTTTGTATGTACGAAAAATGTGGAAAGTTTAAACATTAAGTCACACTTGGTTGTGATTTATATATCATTAGGCAGTTCAAAATTTCGTATGAATGTATGTCAGTCCTGTTGTACATGTACTTGGGTCCAGCCTGTCTACTTAAACTTACCTTTCCCTGGTATATCCAGCCCAACTTCCCATGGAGTGTGCAGGAAGATATAGACAAGTGCTCCCACTGCAGCCTTAAAGCAAAACAAGAGAACAATGTTACCAAAACATCACAATTCTTACATGCTTTTTGGTGTGAAAAGTTCCGGAAAAGATCTGGGATCATTCGCAAATAACATGAAATCTGTTAATGAACTTACCACTACGAGTGCTGGGTAGAAGAACACAGACCTCCATCCATACATCCTCTGTATGTGTACCTGGGGGAAAGAATATCACTCATCAACTATTTTCTGAAGGTTACAAAAACTTTCAAAACCCACAAGACTAAAATAACCAAATGTTATGGTCAATCAATGAGTAGTGAGAATACAAAAAATGCAAAAAAACAACAACTGGTCATTGATTGAAAAAACGTTTTGTATTCAGCATCAATAAATCTTGTATAATGTGGTTTCTCCCTTCCTCTTTTTAACCCCATCCTGTACTCACTGCTAGACCAGTTCCCATGATGCCCCCAGCAAAGGTACAGGTCCCCCAGATACCAAATATGGCGTTGCGCTGCCTGTCAGGGTACCAGGAGCCGAGGGCCTTCACACAGCACGGCCACGTCTGAGCCTGGAAATGAATAAGAAAAAGAGAGTGTTGATAGCAATGTCACAAATGAAATAAAACATTTACCTATTACTTTTCCAACTACATGTATTATCACAATGCCATACATGCATATTAAGTCCTGTCTGGAAATACACGGGTACTGTAAAAGGTCTTTCTTAAAAATAATCAGTTTACCTTGATTGCCCTGTTTACACTCCAGATTTCTGAAGATTTATAAATTAGAGTCATTTACACTTGTCACCTATAGGTCAATTCTATCAATGAACAGCTGTGCCCTTAAAATTGGTCAGTGCCAACTGGGATTCAGGTATTGAGTACCAGGTGCAGCCTTCATTTGCCCTGGTATCACCTTTACTCCTCTAGAGAACTTGCAGACAGAAGTTGAATACCCTACTGTATGGATTACTGATATCCACTCACTTTTGATCCCAGGTACTCAATACCTTATTTTGTAGTTTTGTATAGTTTCTCTGTCCTTGGTGCTGAACTACCACATTGTTTCTCTGTCCTTGGTGCTGAACTATCATTGCACAAGATATATATATTGTATTTTCTTGACAGACAAGGTGTTAACCTGAATGTATAATTTGTTTTTCTCTGTCCTTGGTGCTGAACTATCATTGCACAAGATAAACATTGTATTTTCAGATACAATAGATAAGGGTTTTACCTGAGCAACTCCATTGAAGAACAGCATGATCATGAGAAGGAACACGTCTATCCATGTACCAAATCCAACCTGGAAATAGAGACAAAGTTGCAACATTCAGAAACAACTTGAGGATTGATACAAACACCCAGAAAAACACCTGAGAGAGTTGCCAGTTAACAGGGAATTGATTACCTAACACTTACATGGCATTGAACATGGCAAATGCTAATACATCTACTACATTGTTAGTGGCAGGTTAGCGAGTGGTTGATGACTTACCACAGAGGCTGCTGACAGAAACAGGCACCAGGCCAGGGTACTACGGGCACCAAACTTGTCTGCCAGAGGACCCAGGATCATCTATTGGGAGTACACAAAGTGTAAAAAAATCTAAAGGTACACAGGTATGTGCTTAGGAATGCCAAGCTGATTCAATGACAAAATCAGTATGACTATCTCATTTCTGTGTATAGTTTTATCAGGTTGGTAAGTCACTGAATAAAGAGACTCTTTTCACACAATCAAGTCTTTTATTCAGCCGACATTTTGGTGACCATCTGTTACCTTCCTGATGTGCCCTGAGAAGGGGACAGACAGTGATGGTTGTGTAAAAAGAGTCTCTTTATTCAGTATGACTGTCTCCAGTTGAAATCTTTGTGATGATAACCAGTAATAGAATCATAGAACAGTACCTGCATGGTAGCGTAAGGTAACAGCATGGAGGTGTCCAGCCATCCCAGCTGTGTTTTAGTCAAACTCAGTTCTGAGGCCAGGTCTGTCTTGATCTGTGTGTAAAGCAGGGGACATGCAAAAATGGACCTTTGAGTTATCTAGGTTTAAGATGCTAATCTTGTTACAACAATCATGGAATACATACTGATTTTATAAATTGTTTGATTGATTTATCATTGCATGCATCTTGAACTAACCAAACCTGTAACATCCGTGTCCATAATATCACCAGGGTCCATAATATCGCCACCTTGAGAAATAGTGTTTAATAACATATTTTTACTGCAACATACTTTTGGTATGCACTCCTGCACACCTCAAATGTACATACCTAGGGTATGTTGCAGTAAAAATATCTTTAAGCACACTTTTTCTTAAGGTGGCGATATTATGGACCCTGGTGATATTATGGACACGGATGTTACATTTTGGAAACAAATTGTCTCTTGGTAGGATGAAGGGTCATTGAAAACATACAAATACAGCAAATGATCTATACAATTGATAACAATTATTTTATTACTTTTACCCTTTCAAAACTGTGCACATCTGCAGTGTGATTTCATGCCCGCCACATAATTATATGTGGCTATCACTGATGAATATGTAACAGCTTATAAAGCTGTAAGAGGTCATTCAAGGCCACAAGTTGGCATGGGATGGCAAAGCAGTGAAACCAAAGCAGGACAGTATTATGCATTGTTGTCTACATATTTTACTTTTCTTCAATGAAAGAAGTCATGAATAATAGGAGTCCGTTCTTACCACCCCCAGCGGTTTCCTGACCAGGTATGTGGAGGCGTACGCCACCCAGGTCAGAACGAACGTCGCCACCTGTCTTCTCTGCAGACGACTAAACGACAACATCCCGACACTTCTTCCCTCTCTCACGCACAATTTTACCCCTAAGTCGTTCTACAAACTAACTATTCGAACAGCATGGGTCACAAGGAAGGAATGAAAGTAGATAATTAGTACAAACGGCGACGTTAGATTATGGGAGAACGAGATTTTAACCCTGTTTGTCGAACGACGCACCAGCCGCCATGTTGGAGCAGACGACCCGGAAATGAACGTTCTGATTTAATTTTTGGCGGGAAAGTTTGATCCGGATTTGGCAAGAGGTCAGTGTCGGTAAGAAATACAGTCTTTCGGAAGAAATAACATTATCTGAATAAAAGAAATGCTGTCATCAAATGATTGAATAGGAAAACATGGTGTTATTGGTCGATTATGCGACAACCTTGTGAAATATTACATTATTCAAAAGCGTCTCTATGCGGACCTACTCTGCACTGCAGAATCACGGAACAGGTGCAACGGCATACTAACGTGGAATGTCATTTCTTTTATTTTATTACCCGTAAGGGAAATTAATGAGTAAACCACTCATAAAACGTTTTGGAGATGGATAGTCTACACACAACATGTTCTGTTTTTCTCCGTCAGCTATGTAGTTCTGAATCAATTCAAATGCGGTTCATCAGGATTTTTATTTGGATGCGGTGTTCATACATATTCACTTTCCCCAATGCGAATCCTGGCCAGAAGGCAATGTTTACAATCGTACGGACGGATCCGCTGTTCCCAATCGCTTCATCGTGGGGCTCTTTGTCGGGCAGTGCATTACCTGTATCTGCAGAGGAAATGTCTCAATCTCTCTAAAAGGTTAGTGTTTTTTTTTTAAAGAAATGTTTTGATTTTCTAACGTTTTCTTGTGTGATTTATGTATTCCTCAAATGTCTAAATTGAAAATTCAGGCATCGGTGAAGAAGAACAATGAAATATTCTGGATCACCATCATAATCGTCTCCTCTGGCGAAAATTCAGAACCAAGGGTTTCCATCGAGGGCGGCAAAATTTAAGATTTGCAATACCGGCACTTCATATCCATTATGATTTGTTTACATTGCATATGTAGTAACGTGTATGTAGTTAAATTTGAAACGGCTTGAAAATAACGGCCTTTGTTGCAAAAAGACGCATATCCACCGTAATAAATTATTTTTTTAGAAAACGGGACAGAATGGATTTTAAACTTTTCCGTTCTGTTATCTGGCACCACGTAGGCTTGTGCTGCAAATTGTGCATCAATTGGCATCACATATAAAAGCCGGGTAGAATATAATTTTTGCATCTCTCCCATGGGATACAACCTTTTACAGATGTGAAAAATCTAACCATAGGGAATAGACTTTGTCTAAATTTAACGTTGGGAGGTGATTTTTCACTTTCCTTGCGTGGAAAAAAGATTGATTGCATCTTGTTTCCTGGCTGTGAAAATGCTCGTGCTGGTCACATGCACGCTGCGACCGTAAATCTTGTGCGCCAAAAAAATATGTCTTTGGCAATTGCAGTAATGGGATATTGGAAATGCAATGAGCGTGTTTCATGTTAGCATACTCAATCACCTAACGCCAAGAGCCCTTACAAACAATACGCCTGCTTTGTGTAATGGAAATTGCTCCCAGGAAATTTAATATCGCTGACTGAATTTATTCCTGCATGGGCTGTGAACGGTTGTGATTTTTTTCTCTGGGCGAAGCGTGGTCAAAACCGGCTCTCATGTGCTCCTTCTGCAATTGCTAATTGATTTCGGGAGATACTAGTAGTTGACATCGGGCAATTAGGACCAGGGTCAAACGATGGGTTGGAATGAATTGCCCCCCGGAAAAAATTGTAGGAGGCTCTTAACATTCGAGTGGTTATACCTCGCGTACCGCACCTGTGCGTTAAGGAGGATTATTTCTCACTTTTCTCCGGTTTTGGTTAAGCCTCACAGAGAGGGAAAATGCTTCAGGAGTCATTGGGTTACCGACTAGTACTATAGTATTACAAATGTATGTACATTGGTACATGGAATAATCCAGTTGATTCCATTTTTGTAGGGGGTAGAAATTTTCCCTGAAAAGAACTTGCCACCACACTGCATCCTTTGTAGTTTTTTTTTTCACGTGCAGATGGCTAGGACCACTTTAGCCATGGAATAATATATCAAGTTCAAATATCGAAGATAATGTTTCATAAGCAATGTGAGCAGCAATGTTTCCAATGACAATGCTGAATATTGCATATTATAAAATGTTCTCTCCCAATTGATGCAGTTTTTTTGCTGCCCACTCTGCCAGTCACAAGATGCTATTGCTTGGAACAAACCATAAACACCAGTATAAAGGGTGGTGTGAACTAGATGTAAAGTGCTGATACACACTTTATATGCTTAGGACACAGTGCACACATTTCTGTATGCATTTAATTAGTATCTCTAATTCAATTGCCTGATAATTTGAGAACAGCTTTTTGCACTACTACTAGTACTAGTAACATTACCAATGTATTTGTGAGTCGGTATATTTTCAATTCACAAAATTTGGGCAGTGGCTGGGAAAAGCGGGACAGTTGGGGTCAAAGGAACACGGCTTTCGACCCAAACATCTGTTAAAGCGTGAACCAATCAATTTGGTATCGACCCATTACCTTCCAGAGCTGCCGGTCTTGTGCATGAATATCTTAATGTTTAGAAGACATGGGAGCAATTTTCACTTCGTGCTAAGGGCATAATGGTGTAGTTATGGTGTAGTGGATAGTGGGGGAATTTTTATGGTGAGGTGCTTGCTTTTTTTTATAGAAGATCAAAATGGAATTATTTCCTTTAGCAGTACAAATGAACTTTCATTCTCCTGTATAATGAGATTGTGGGAGTGTTGAGGCATGGGAAATCACATTTTGCTGGTGTGATCAAATATCAATGGTCGTTTAGAGCAAATAATCAGGTGTGAAAAAATTAATAAAAGACAAACAAGCTTTTGTTAGATACATGTATTTGGAAGTGGCCTAATGCTCGGGTTTTCATGATTCACCCTTAAAATACCTACTACGTAATTGCTAGTGAGGCAACCAACCAAATCAATGAATGAATAAATTCTGCCTTTACAAGGCGAAACCTTGTGTTTGCAGTTACAGCATGTACAAATCTTCTATTTGCCAGCAAAAGGGCAAGTACTCTTAAAGTAACCCTAGGCACTAACCATATCAATTTGGTGTTTGTGAGAGGAGAAAAAAAAGTGGAAATGTAAACAGCAGGAGTGCTGTCTTAAAACCAGGTTAATTCTACTTCAAGTCGGCGCAACCTTTTTGTGCTGCCCACATCCTGCTCCTTGACACCTGCAAGGCTTGCAGTGATACAGAGGGTACTGTAATGCACTTAATGTTCACGGTAGCAAATGTTCCTGGTCTGAAAAAAATGCTTGCAGAACTATATGTTCACGGTGGCGGTAGGTGTAGAAAAAATAAAGTCAGCGAATTACTTGTTCACAGTAATAAGTTCGCAGTACAGAAGTGAAGTGACCACAAAAAATGCAAACATAAAAGGACAGCGAAAAAAGTGAATTACAGCATCATATGGAAAGAACTTTTGAGATACATTCTGCAAGTCATCAGTTATTGCAAGTACAGTCAAACCTGTACCAGACACCACCTATGCATAAGGACCACCTGGCTATTGAGGCCACTTTTTTGGTAGTAACTTAGATTACATTTCCCATTGACCCAAGCATTTGGAATCCTGTCTATAGTGGCCGCCTGTCTACTGTGACCACTTCTTTCAAGTCCCTTGAGTGGCTGCTTCAGACAGGTTTGATTGTACATGTTAGCCTGGTATCCAGTCATGTGCAGCTTAGATCCGCTTCCCAACAGATCCTTGGCTGGGAAGCAGCCATTGGGACACTGAAATTTTCAAGTAGAAAGAATCTATTGAGAACAATAAACCTGTTTGTTAAATGGCATGAAATTATTAAACCTTTTATTATGCAATAAAACATAGATTTACTACAAATAGACTTTGTCTCATTTCATTCTGCATGTAGTACTCGTACTTCGTTTCCAGTCTATTTTCTTTAATTGATTAAGCACACTTGCATGTTTATGCAATACATGATGCTATGGGATCAATGTTTCAGAGTAGGACCAATCGGTTTACATAAACTTTGATCTGAATACTGCGTCCAGTTTGAAATAAAATTAATGGCAGGTCAGCTTACCCTACCAGATCCCTTGAAAGCTGAATCTTGTAGACAAAGGACCAGCATCAAACGCTCAATACACCTAATTGAACCCATTGTAGATTAAGTGGATTCAGACCCGACATGCAACAAAGAAACATGGCAGTTGGCTGATACCCTGATTGCAGCAGTTGACATGAACAATTGCTTGCAACTAACCAGGTCAAGAGACAAATGATTCTATTGGATGAACTCGGGAAGGCCTGATGAAGTGTGCCAATTAATGATCAGGCCACACCAATTTAATTTGTTGGTTCTCGGATTCGCCTCTTCGTTTTTTTCTGATTTGCAAAAAAAATTGATTCTGGTCCTGAATCAACTGAAAAATGCTCATGTTTTGCCCCCAACAGTTGAGGAAAGTCCTTTTCTTCCTAGTTGTTACAGTTTTCCCATCTATCATTGCAGTGGTTTGATTAAAAGTTCAAAATTCAATGTTTAAATTTTAACCCAGCCTTTTGTGTTGACTTCATGTTGACTTCCGTAGCATTTAAGCCTATAATAGGATGCCTAGACCTGTTTTTATTTTTATTTTTTTTTCGCCCTGTCGCTTCATATTTTTCCTGAAAAAATCCGAGAACCAACAAATTGAATTGGTGTGGCCTCAGGTACCATCTGTCTAATAAAATATGGATGCATCAAATTTTTCTCCCAGTTGAACAAGTCAACTTCTTGTTAGCACTAGTGTTATTATATTTCAGTTTTTCATTTTCATATCATATGGATATCATATGGTTGTTCTTGGATCCAGTAAAAACTGTTTGTCAGGGTAACCATTGTCTTTTTCAAATGTTTGATCACCATCATTCTGAACCATCATCTTGTACTTCTTCTTTTTCATCTTGTACACTTTTGGGAATCGATTCAAAGGCAAAATATATCCGAAAGTAGTTTCATCAGGTTATTAGAACATGGGATTTTCTTACACACAACCAGTACTGTCTCTTATCTTGCTTGCATTTAGGTGTTTCGGAATCTCTGAGGAAGGTGTCTGACAGACACCGAAATGTAAGCAAGGTATGAGACGGTACTGGTGCATGTTGTGTGTGGTTATGTAGTTTGTAGTTAAGCCCTACCATGTTGTGATGATAGTAGTTTGTAGTCAACGACTCAAGGAAGAATAGTATGTATGGCAACTGTACAAACTAATGGAGATCAGTCTAATAAACAAACAAATACTGGTTGTGTATAAGAAAATCCCAATATTTTAAAACCTCATAATCATAACTGTTACCAACAGTACAGATAAAACAAATTGATTATACAGAAATAATGAGCAAAATACAATTAAGTGTGATGCTAATTTTATGTCCATGATAACCGTACAGCACTGAAGAACCAAAGAACTCACGTGGGAGTGATCCGATCACTTTCAAATTGAGACCATCCCCTTGCAGTGCTACCGTGCTGATGACACAGTAATCAAGTTGAGTGCTGCCGTGATGGTATCAATGCTCAGGACAGGACATCGGTACATGTATCATAGCAACACAGGACGCAATCAGCAATGAGACATCAAACCTAATTGCAGTCTGCAGTTTGCCTCTATTTGATTAGTTTTAGCCAAGGTCGCCGTGCATTTGACCTACGATAATCAGAATCTGTCGTCCGTGTCAGAGGATTGTGTGTGTAAAAGTATAGGAAACTCTAATGGTTTGAATGGGGATCTAGCATGTATCCTTGAGGAACCCCTTCATATGAGTATACTCAATTTGATAACTTTAACTGACGCCAGATGTGAATTTGACCTTTGATATCCAACAAAATTTCACATCTATAATTGTTGGAAGTTTTAGAAGTTTGGAAAAGCATAATTAGGCCACACCATTTTTAATCAATTGGTTCTTGATGATGAGCAGCAATAAGCATCAACAATAAGCTGAATTTTCTACTAGAGATATTATCCATTTGCCACAAGCAAATTTCAGCTTTCTACTATGCACATACTACACTGCTATTATTATCATTGCAACTTCACAATACTTGATTGCTGGTTGCTGGAATACATTCAAGATATCTTTAACTTCAGAAAATTTAATTAAGTCTAGAAATACCAAAAGGCAGGTCTGATACATGTTGTACCAGCATCCAGCAAGTATAAGGATAGAACACACAGAATGCCTGGCAAAATGCATTTGTCTGAATTACAGCTTTTTGAATGTTATTTCTAAAATGACCTTTCCTGTTATGAGGAAATCAATACCCACGCAGCACTGAGGGTATTTGTTTGGATGAAGGGCACCGCAGAGAAGAGCCCCGTGCCTGATGGCACATTAATTTCAATTAGGGAATGCAAAATATGCAGGGGAACAGATGTCAGTGGATCAAGTTAAATCATTTTTGTTACATCCCTGAACAGCGTCCATACATCAACAAAAATGTGGGCAATTCCAGCCTCCTACTATGATCTCTCTCCTGCTGAGGAATAAAACAAATGCACAACAGCTGATTTCCAAACCAGATGAAGCCATTAGTCCAGCCTGGCTGTAGGCATGGCGATTGCACAGCATGTTCACTGCCAAATTCATCAATCGACCATCATTTCTATTCCAGGATAGCCGAGCAGATTGCCCACGTAGAGCAGGAAACTGGACTCGTGAATTCTCCATCGACAGAATGATTGAAGAGGACATCAGCATAACCAAGGGCTATTATAGGTGTTGATAGGAGGACCACCACTGGGACAAGTACCGGTACAAGCAGGACAAGAAACCTCCACTGGACTGACCCTGCAGCGATGGTTTGATGTGTAAGATATAGGAGATAACTCTTGTTCTGGTGATGCAGTGGCATTGATGTGTAAGTTGTAGTATCCAGTCTTTGTGACAAAGTGGAACTCCAATGGCTTCTGTCTCCACTTCCAAGGCCATGTGAGGGACTTTGAACTGACAGCGGCTGAGGATTCATCTGAAAGAAAAAGAAAAGAGTGATGAATGCTTGTACAATTGAAGGAGCCAGGGCTACCACTGTGACAGGTATCACTGCAATCTGAACATTCGGCTTGACAGACAAAGTTTGTTGCAATCTAAGATGTCATTTGCACTGTTCCACTGATCAGGTCTAGAGGAGACAATGCAATAATCTTACAGTAAACTTGATTCTGCTGTCACAAACGAACCCAATAATTGTTGGAATCCAAGACTTTATTCCTGAATCTGGCAAGTGGCTGTGGAAAACTTAATTTGGCAACTGCTTATACATGTAATAAGTGCCCCGAGGACTATTATTGTGTGACGAATGCTGCTCTGATGAACCGAATTTGACAGAACCAAAAAAAGACTCTCTCTGTCCGAGTCTGAAGTGGCTGTGGGGAGACATTCTGGGACCACCATGGGTGTGAAGAGCAGCTCACTGTACATGCTGGACTGCCGCATGTCCGGCCAACACAAACAGACGTGCCTGCCCAGAAAGCCTCCCAACTACAACCACAACTGGACGGAGCTGCACTACACCGCCAGTCACGGCAACGTCGAGAAGCTCAGGGCAGCCCTCAGGAAAGGTACGTGGGTCAACAGTATAATTAACGGCCTTTAAATTTAGCAGGCTCTATATCTGGGGCTTTTTTGTGTGCACTTTTTCTGACAACTTCCATTTGTATTTGGGTTCTTGTACGGCTGGCTGATACAAGAACTAGGGCACTAAGAGAAGCCATCAGCAAAAAAGCATATTTATGACACAAAATAAGCCCCATTTGTAGAGCTAGCTAAGGAGGTTAGCATGACTACCTAATGTAAGTAATATGAGGTGTAAACTCTAATCTCACTATACACAGTAATTCTATAAAGTTGATTGTTTATTTGTATGCATGACTTCTGCCATAAACATCCGATTCAGAAACCTCAACATCAGTTCAATTTTCTGACCCTCACATAGGATAAGTGACCTTCCCACGTTACGATCCACATAAATATCTTCTAGAGGTCATTTTGACAGGCTTGGCCTAGTTTTTTAATAGCATTATTCTGACATATCCTCTAGCTGTGTAAGGTATAATTCAACCATTCTATTGACATGGCTGCATATCAGCACCTGATATGTAGGCATGTCATATGAACGAAACTCGTGCTAGCCTCCTGATATGTAGCCATGTCACATGATAGGAACTTGTGCTTTTAAGCCTCCACAGTAGGCTTACAGTTGGCCATTTTGAAATATGCTGTTTTCTGATTGCATGTCAGTTAAAACTGTACCCAGTTTCTGACAGCTGCCACCTGTAAGCCTGCTGTAACTTAGGTACAATCCGATATTGACATTACAATTAGCCCAATCTGCAAGCCTGTTAACGAGGCTAGCGTTTTGTGCCACGGCCCAGTCATAACATACTTAACACTGAAAACAGTTCAATTCCCTGTTGGTTCTGTCATAATTTATTTATTTACCATTTAAATTGATAAGCTGTGCAGGGATTGGATACAGGAATCCTGTAAACTCTTCAGGGTGATGAACTTCCCTGTGCATGGTGCTAGTATTAATGTGCTAATATCTCAAGAGGGTTGCCTGGTAATCACATTAATGGTACTTAAGTGTTTTGAGGTTCAACAACTATATGTTGGCGATAAGGAAAAGTGGATTCACATAAATCAGCCAAGAACAAAATCAAAGCATCCTGTGCATTGACAAGATTCTGCGGTACCCGTGTTTCATTCCATAAAAATTCCAGTAGACAATATTTTCAGGTTCAATCTGCCATTCTGGTGCATAAAATATGGGGTCGCAAATTCCTTTATTTGTACAAGACTAGCAGGTTAATGATTGTGATTCACAATTGAATACGCATTGATTTTTAAAACATGAAATACATGTAAAACTGATTACTTTCAATTTGAAAATTACAACAGTTACTGTTACAATAAAATCTATTTTATTCAAACCTTAGACAGCCAATACATCTTCCATAATGTTTTCATCAGAGTAGACCAACTAGCACTGTTTAGTATCGGTATCTGTATTGGTATAGCCGGTATAACCGCCCTTCGGTGTAACACACTAGAGAAGAGTTGGGTATTGTGTGACAAAAAAGATGTTTCAGCTTGAATTTATGATGCAGTTCAAAGAGCAACTTCAAAGAACGTCAAGTTTGTTTTACATCAAAAAGTCTGAAACACTTGGAGCTCGAGGGTGATGTCCTTCCTAATACCTGTAACCTTGCAGCTGACAGGTTTAGATGAAGCATGTATAAGTCTGAGCCTGCAGGGCAGCTGGAAATGGAGCTGGATACCTTGCGGGAAGCAGGAAATCCCCCAGGCAGACAATCATTACTTATTAACCGCTTTACGCCGGGCGAGAGTGGCTCAGAACAGCAGCTGAATGCGCAATGCGAATGTAAGAATCTGATAATGGCACATGGTGAAATAAACATATCAATCACCTTGTACATGCATCTTTGCACCACGGCAACTGAAAAGTCACGGGGCATGTCAGAGATGATATTACTCCAGGGTAAAAAAGACTGGCAGAACATACCTGGAATATTAAACTTTCGAGCCAGTTTCCATATGCATGCAAGGGTGCTGAAAATACGCTTTTGATGTCTATTAGATGCTATGCTAAAACAGAAGGAAATAGGCAGATAACTCTTTCTTACTGAGTATTATCATACCTTTAAGTTATTATAGTGCCCAACTCTAATCTTTGTCATTTTTTTGTCAGTTGACACCATGACTTCTTGCCTTCTTTTTCCACAGGTAACTGTGATGTCAACAAGACTGACTACTATGGAAAGACGGCGCTGTACTGGGCTGCATACAAGGGTCACACAGAGTGTGTGGAGGAACTGATCCTGCATGGTGCTATGGTGAACATGCAGTGCAAACACGGCTCAACACCGCTGCACGCTGTAGCCAGCCTGTACCCTGACTGTACAGCACTGCTGGTGCAGGTAAACAACATGTATCTTTGAGTAAAGAGACTCCTTTTACACAACCAGGAGGTTTATTCAGCCTATGTTTTGGTGATGGTCTGTCACCTTCCTCAGGGAAAGTCTGACATTTTCACATTGCACAGCACAGGTGTTGCTAGCTGTAATAGTGACTTATTCAGTGACTAACCAACCTGATGAAACTATTCATGGATGATATATCTTAACATGAACATGGAGTTCTTTGATACATAACGAAGAGGAATCTACAACTAACGTTTCCATAACTCTTCTGATACCTTCTTCAGTGCTACATGGTGCTGAAATGCCATCCACTGGACGTTATCTTGCCATTCTGTTCAAGGCAACTTTAGGACAGTTCTTACTGATCATCACTTGTGTCTATGTTTCCATAGCTCCATCATTGACACTGACAGGAAGTTTAATAGGTCAAAGGTCTCAGGAAAGTTTATCAGAGGTTATCTTATTTCCTGCCATACGCATGATTTTAAAAAAAAAGTTTGCTCTGTGAAAAGCCACACGGGGCACTTCTGGGCACTGACCATAGCTCAATAAAGCAGAATCTCTTCCCCCTCCCTAAGTCAGAAACATCAAGCTTTGGGCCAGTGAGAAAATAAACATACAGAATCAGTGAGATATTCACAAAAATCAAAATAGAGCAAGATATTTACAGCTCTCAATATTTCATGAGATGTCTGATTTCTTGTTTGTAGAATGGTGCGGATGTAGATGTGCGAGACAAGTGGGGAGTGACTCCAATGTACCTGTCTGCCACTGCTGGACAGCTGGAGTGTCTTAGGATACTGGTGGACACTGGGGCCAGGATGACATACAAGAATCAGGTAGGGGAGGATTGTGGGACAGATTAGTTAGCTTGGTACATGGTAGCTAGTTCTAGCTGTTATCAAAAATATGTTGAGCACACTTTGTATTATTTAAGATTTTACTTTTCTAAAGATCTGTTTTGTATCAAGGAAAAATTCTTGAAAATTGTCCTCTGTATGCAGCTCTCCATCCATATTTGTCTCAAAATTTAATCACTACTTTGTTTAGGCAAGAGCTATTATTGGAGTTAGTTAATAACTTTTTTTTAGTTCTCTTGCTTATAAATCACTTAAAAACCAAGAAAAGAACTGAACCTGCAAGTTCTGGCTGCCCTGGCAGTGTTGGCACTAAATCACAACCTTCTCGCTCTTTCACCAGAAGACGGGGGAAATTCCCAAGCAGCTGGCGGCACACAAGGAGTTCTGGAAGTGGCTGAACCACCTGTCTCGGAACCCGCGCAGCCTGGCGCACCTGGCGCGGCTGGCCATCCGCAGACACCTGGAGGACCACCGGGAGTGCACCGTTGCCCAGCTGCCGCTACCCAGGGTCCTCACAGACTATGTCGCTCTTAAAGAACTCGATCAGTACATCAACAGGAACACCAACAACTGAGATAGCGCTTCTAAACACTCGAAGAACAATGCACGACAACATCAGTACATGAGATCTCCCGTTTCTTTAACACCCACTTTGTGTCTTGAATGTGAGAAATGTGTAAGTTGTGGGTTAAAAAGTGTGATGGACTAGTACAAGAAATGTGTACTGTGAACAGTGAAACTCACAGGTTGAGTACGATGGAGTTGTAAAGTATATGATGGACTTGAAGATATTCATCCTCTTACTCTGAAACAACTAAATGTCTCAGTCGTTACATCAAAAGGAATACCGTACTACCAGTTAGTAACAACTGAGAATGTACTTAACCAAGAGGGAGGATATCCAGGATGCATTTTCCCACTCTCAAAAGAACTGGACAAACAAAAACTAACAACAAAAATCCATGAGGAGAGTTTGAATTTTTGCATCCAATATCAGGGTACAGACATTTGGAAAGGCATAGATTTTTGGGTTTGATCCAATGTTACCACTTACAACACACCATAGAGCTTTTAGCCTAACTGAAAATCACTAAACACGAATTTTGTCTTGAATAATTTTATTATCCAGAAAGCTATAACTGAGTGAACATGGCCGTGAGTGATGAATCATTTACAGATGCAAATTACCTGAAACAGAAATCTGCCCAAAAACCATCTGATAAGAACATCAGACACAGTTAGAGATGAACACAGGATAACCAGCTGTCTTCCTGTGAGCTCTCTGTTAGAGGTAAATCTCTGCACCACACACGACAGGCTGTAGGCAAGATAAATCACAGAACATTCCACAATCTTCTTACCTGCTTCCTGAATCCATTGGTATGTGTAAGGCAAGATGCAGATGTGCCTGTACACCTGTTTTACCATCCATTCCAAAAAAAAAAATGGTCAGATCCAGTAAACAACATGGGATGTGACCTGAATTATGAGGAACAGAAGTGTGAGGCTGCTTATAATAACATAAAATCTCACCTTAGGATAGGCCAACGAAACCTTTCATGTTGATGGTAGCTAGTGAAATACAGTTACTAAAGCCTTTCCATCCAAGCTAATGAAAGAAGTCATCGTGGTATTGTCATAACCAGCAGTTGGGGCTGAGCAACACTCAAGTCTGATAGAAAAATAATTTGTAAAAAAATGTAAAAGATTTCAGTTGAAGGCATCAAAACCAATGCTCTGCAGACAGACATTCTTGCAGTATAGCTAAGACAGAAATAGAAGACTGCAAATTCTGCAAGGAGAATACAAACACTTGCATACGATTGTGAGACCTCATTCCAGAGGTAAACACATCTAGCTAAGCCATGTCTTGTATTCTATGAACAGGCTTATGCTAATTGTTTAACATGGCAAATGTTGATTCAGAATAATGGACACTTCTCCCTCTGTCACCTTACAGTCTGAGAGAAAGTAATCCTCTCTAAAATCTAAACCTAGGCCCAACCAAACCAAATCAAACCAAGAGTGTCAACTATGAGGGCTACTTGTAACTATTAAATCTGGTTTCATGATCACAACTGTATGTAGTACATGGTACTAACCAATGTGTGATTCCTAGCAGACTGCAGCTAGTAAAATCGGCAAATGTATGGCAATAGACATAATCCAATACTTGAAGCAGCAATCTAACCAATGGTAGTAATCTACTACATATATGATAGTGTTGATGCAGGCAAATTACACTTCTGACACAATGCTAGCAACTGTTGATGTACCAGCAAAATAAAACTTTCAGACTGGACACAAAAACTTCCCTAAAAGCACAGGGAAAAAGACAACAAGTATCACAACTTAAAAAGAAGCCAATCGCAAGCAGATTAAATCATCAGCTGCCTTTGTCTTGATTGTATTACAGACGATGTGAATAAAACATGCAATTTTGTAGTTTTCTATTGAATAATTTATACTAATGGCTTGCTGCAAGTCGGCACGGAAATGTAATTGATTTGACATGTAGTAACAAAAATAACTAAATGTGCGTAATCCTGTAATGTCCTCCTCTTTGATGTATGACTGTGCAAGTGTTGAGTTTGGACCTCTTGGTTCGTAATGTCACAAGGTTTAGTATTTCATTGCTGTTTGTGCAATAATGTGCTCATCTATCATGTAATACGTAGAATGAGTGCAAGAAAAGGTGCTAGTGTTTTAAGAGGAATGTTGCCCTCTTCTACGATATTTTACATATGAATCAGTGTTTATAGGGATTGCAGACTGTACTTCATACGGAGTTAAGACCTGACTTATGTATCGTTATCATTTCAAAAGTTTTAAAAACTTTGGACAACTCATTTTACCACTGGGTCAAAAATACCAAGGTAGCCTTATATAAGGCAACATACTTCCCATTTTCTTAGGTATCATAGAATCTGATGTAAAAACCTTTCAATGCTTTTAGGAGGATGTAATGTTATGAAAATTTCATTTTGGGATGTTGTACAGGCTTCTGTGAATATCTGCTAACACAGTTAGGGTATTGATCAGCTTTGGTGTTTGCGACAGAGATAGAGTGTCTGCAGCTGGCAATAAAGCACAGTAACTGTTCCGGATCTTTGTACTGACTGACCATCTGTCATGGTGCTCTGTGCTAATGCATGTCAGTTTACAAAGTGCTGGCAAATATTAGCATCATGCTTCAAGAATCCAGCTAGTGAAGTCAGCTACCTGACCTCCCCTTAGCTATTCCCCTTGTTTTGACAGAGACATACCAGGTCACCCACAATGACACAATTATCATACAATTAATATGTGAAAATAAACATGGGCTTGAGTCAAGATTACTGATTGCAATTGTCCAGGAAAGAACAAGAAAGTTTAACTTTGTATAAGTTTCACCATATACATTTGTAATATAACTCATATTGTTCAAAATCTATTCATTCCTGAATCTAATGCAGTCAACAATGAAATTCATTCAGCACTACAAGGCACTTAACATTTTATGCCAAACAGCTTAAACATTTTCTGGACATTTTGCAATAAAGATAGACAGACAGACATGACACTACACACAGGACAGGGGCACCTGGCAGCCTGCCATCAGGTCACCAGTTCTGTATGCATGCCTAACTCTCACAAGATGGAGAACAACAGATGAACACTGAACTCATGAAAGGGTCTGACAAACTCCCTGCAGGACAGACCAAGTATTGTGTGAGAATCAAACCATGCAGCTGTGTAGGAAACAAAATCTTTCTAAGGCTATGCATGTGCATAAAAATGCAATGTCATACAATATAATATTCTTGGGCAAGGGTTGCTTTATTGATAATATTTGTAACACATGTGCCTCTAACTTGTGGGTCAGGTACAGTTAACTGTTGAGGTTTTGTAAAATCAAGAAGCTTGAAAATGGATGTTTAACTTCCTGAAATTTCTTATCAAGATTTGTGTGAAAGACTTTAAATATGTGCAAAGCAAAAACAACAACATGATTTTGGGAGAAAATAATGCTAGTTAAGGTTTCAGGCTAATGGTCAGTGCTGTAAGTCTTTTACATATTAGATTAAGCCTGCAGTGAAAAAATCATCATACATGTACATGTAGTTCGTTGTTGGACAACTTTTCTTGATTTGACCTATAATTCCAGGGTCACCAGATTTACCCACTGAACAATTGATACTGCCTGCCGGCTTCTTTTTGAATTCAACCATGTAGGTAACAATATTGGAAGGCTACGGCTTCAAGGCTACATGTTACATGAATAGGCATGGAACAGTATCTCTACTCATGAAGTATAAACACAAATGGGACAAGCCTGACTCACCGAGCTTTACTTTACTTGGCAAATCATTAACCAACAGTGTTCCACTCCCTCCAGCAGACTTTGTCCTAAGTGTACTATATATTGTATAAAGTAAACAAATTAAGCATTACTGTAAGCTGAGGCTATTCCATTTGTCAAAAAGATCAGGGGGGAGAGATTACAAAAGGAGTGGAACTCTTTTTGTATCAGGGCCATTTATTATAGTGTTCCAGTAAGTACAAGACTCTGGACGGGGGGTTTAGTACATTAAGTTACTTGGGGGTATTGAAATTAAAATGGAAGGAAGAGGGGTCGAACAATTTTCCGACAGCCCCCACAAACTCTTCAAATGGAATAGGCATGAAAGCATGATGATCGTAAGATGCTGGCAGTTGTGAACACACATGCCCCTTACTCCCATGTGCCAGTAGAAGTCCTGTAAATCACGCTATTAGCCGTACAGTCAGCGACACACTCCCCAACTGCAGCCATGGCAAGAACACTGTGGTTGCTGGGATCCCTGATTGCTGTAGGAATTGGGTACATCTTATATGAACCCAGCTTTGACCCAGGTATGTAGACACTAATCTGGCAAACATACCGGTATGGCATTTTGACTTTTCACATCTTCCTTTGGCATCAAAGAAGAGTGAAGTAGCATTCAATGGTCTTTTACTAGGTTTGTTTTTCTAGTTTTGAATTTAGGAAATCTGGTGTATGGGCAGAGATAAGGTCAATGATTGTGACAATGAAAAACTGATGCTGGGCATCTAGTTGACATTTCTCAATACTAAGAGGTTAGAGAGAGACCAGTTAAAAATCAGTTGACCAACATCTTTCTGATTTCCCGAAAGAGTCCTTGCGGGGTGCGAGAGTGGTGATCACGGGCTGCAGTTCCGGGATCGGGGAACAGATGGCGTACGAGTACGCTCAGATGGGGGCAAAGGTCCTCATCACAGCCAGGAGGGAGAACAGGCTGAAGGAGGTATTAAACTAAAGATGACAAGTGATAACGACAGGATTGTCTTAAAACTTCAGTTTAAAAAAAACTGTTACTCTTAAAAAAAACAGAAGGAAAATATTTCTAAGTTAAAACCCTCGTCCTGTTGGCAGTTCTGTTATTGCTCCCTATGCTGGGATTTCACATCCTCTTGGAAATTGGTGTTGTTTTGTCTACAATTGTCTAAAAAGTCCTGAAAATATCAGTATTGCATTCATGAGAAAACAGTCCAACCTTCCCAACATATGTTGGGCACAACATTGGGGATATGAATATGCTTGAGCAGCAGGGCAAGCCATTATAGGGTTGTCTAATTTAATAAAAGCTTAACCCATGCCCCTCAAATTTTAAACCATAACTTTAAAACGTTATTCCCAAAACTCCCCTGGCAAATCGTCTTCCCCAAATGATTTGTTTTAAGTCTTTTTAGTCTGATGGAAATTACTTTTCTGGAGCAATCTGGTCTAACACTAACCCGGTGTTTCAGGTAGTGGCCAAGATGAGAGAGCTAGGTGCCCAGGAGGCTCTGTATGTAGCAGGGGACATGGGGAAGGCTGAGGACTGTGAAAGGACCATCCAGACTGCAAAGGAGAAATTTGGTATGACAGCACAAAAAAGTCTTACAGCAAACTTTCCAGAATAAAAGAAGGAGGGAATATCCATGTATATCAATCCGACATGATGATTATTACAACGTTTATGTTGCATAGCAACTGTATGTCACCATAGAGTTCATCCTTTAACAAATACAAAACATCAGCCTTCTCCCATCTTGGTTTGACAATGGATTTGATGACTGAACATTATATCTTTTTCTTGAATCACAGTCTCAACTACCCTGGGAGCCAGACTAGAGTCAGGCCTATCACTAGTGAACTGGCCATTATACGGCCAGATACTAGTCTGGCTCCCGAGGTAAGTTACTGCATTGTGATATATGTATTGTTTTCTGTAGGTGGACTTGATATTCTGGTGATCAACCACCTGGCATCAACAATCGACAACAAGTTCTTCCAGTTCCTGTGGGACGGGGACATGGACTATGCCCAGAAGCACATCCAGGCCAACTATGTCAGCTACCTCCGCCTGGCCTCCCTCGCCTTACCCTCCTTACACAGGAACAGTGGCAGCATTGTTGTGGTGGGGTCAGCTGCAGGTAATTTGGTATTTTCATTCAAATTTGCAGGATAAAGGCTGTGCACTGAAAGTATAGCCTCTACTCAACTGGCCAAATTATTAATAGACAGATTATGCCAGGCATTGGCCCGTGTTAAGGGAACTGTTTGCGTGGACCAACTCCCCTGACATAATCTGTCTATGTGGCCAATTTCTTCTCTTTTCAGGTACTTCCCAAAGCCTGGTAGAGGCTGTTGTGAAAGTGAATATGAAAGAAAGTTAAACTGTTGAGTTTGTGAATTGTTTTCCACATTTTTGCATCCTATGTTTTGACTGAGGTGGACAGAGCTTCCATAAGCATTTCTATCCTTCCTATCCACATGTACTATTATGCCAAAAAGGCACTGTAATTATATTTGACAGTGACTGTGTGTTCAGTTCATCAGACTATGTTTTGTTCAACAACAGATTATCATATGCATAAGGATGCCTAAGAGTGCTTAAGCTTTGGTTCACCATGCAATCACAAGAAAAGACCACTGCATGGACATGTAACAGTTACTTGTACTGACTCTTCCACTTTTTTCCAGGCAGATTCGGTGTTCCTCTGAACACACTATACTCAGGCACCAAGTTTGGCCTGCATGGGTTCTTCAGCAGTTTACGGCAAGAGCTTCACATCCAGAAATCCAATGTCTCTGTCACTTACATTGTGCTGGGAGCCATTGACACAGTACTTGGCAAGAAAGCAATCCACGTAAGTGTTGTATTACTGTTTACTTTGTGTTGTAATGATACTAGGGAACTGTCTGTAACAACACTAAAACTGATTTTGATGTTTTCTGAGCAGATTTCCAGTTCAGATCTATATTTCTTGGTAGCTGTGGGCCGTGGTTTTGCAAGTCATCGACGTTGGTGTACTTAAATTATAATAGGCTTCATATTTCTACAGTGGCCAAAATTGTCTTTGGTGACCCTCAACCTCATGGAGTATGATGCAAGATGGAAAAGTATGATTTCAAAGACAACAAATGAAAAATTAGTTATCTAATAGATAAAGAATAGGTAAAGAAGTGATTTTTTTAAACAAAAAAAGTCCTTTATATAATACTATAGATAGATATTTGTTTTAGTATCTTTCAAAACTTTTTGCACATCTTGCATCACACTCCAATGAAATTGGTTGAGCGATCTTAGACTATCAAATATTTGGTCACAACCTCTTGTGGAAAGAGGGTTCATAGAAACAATACAAAACATTTTCCCACTGCTGTTTCACACCAGGATAGAGGACTGGACACCAAACAGCAGATGGCTCCTGTCTCCAGCGCTGCACAGGCCATCATCCGAGGAGGGGCGACTGGACAGAGAGAGGTGTACTATCCCTGGGGACAGATCTGGACTCTGGTCAAAGTCTGGGACTTCTTCCCACAAGTTGCAGACTACTTTTTAGAACTAAGTGTGATTGATGGCCCAAAGAAATTAGACAGGTCACCATTGTTAGAATAGTAAGAACGTACTGTATGTTTAGCTGTATTTGTCTGTTATGAGAGATAAGACAGGAATAGTAGCACTTGGAGGCTAACCTAAAATTTAGGTGTGCAGGAAAAACTTTTGGTGCTCAACATAAAATAGAAACAAAACAGTATGATTTATAGGGTTTTGACTTGAGACAAGGGACTGACCAACACTTACAACTGCCAAATTTACATGCACCTTTATTTCTAATAAATTAATATATTTAACACAGATATTCAACTTCAAACTTGATTTCATTATCAAGGTTAGCAATGCTTAATACTAGTAGTGGCGCGGGAAAGCGCACGACACGAAAATAAAGTCTTATTCATTCATTCATTCATTCATTCATTCATTCATTCATTCATTCATTCATTCATTCATTCATTCATTCATTCATTCATTCATTCATTCATTCATTCATTCATTCATTCATTCATTCATTCATTCATTCATTCATTCATTCATTCATTCATTCATTCATTCAGTAGTGTCTACATTAAAACAAATAGTGTCTAAATTCAAATAATTTAAAAGTTGGTGCTATGTGTGAGCAATACACAAAGTAATGATGTAAAGTTGTGCAGCATGTCTCCTCTCCTTACTTTCTGTATGTTGGTTCCTGTTGTTGACTACTGTGTGTTGAGCAGAGCCTGGTGCCCGCTGGACGTGTCAGTCTTCAGGACCTCCCGAAGGGCCATGGTGGCGTAGGTAGAGGGCGGCAAGGTGAACTCAACCTTCAGGGCTTTCATCTTCCCTTCTAGGGAGCACAAGAAACACACAAAAATAATCCAAAACTTTTGGCACAGTATCATAAGAAAAGATGTTGATCATATTTCTTTGCTTTCTGGCTATGGAAACTTCGAGAATTACATATATAAGTTATAGTGACTGTCATCAATAAATTTTTATCCATTGACAATAAAGTAGACTTTCCAATATTTGCTTAAGTATCATGACACATGTGCAGATGAGAATTAAGAAAACACAAAATTGAAACTTCAAGCTAATTACAGTCACAGTGACTGCTCCCACCTGATGCAGCTAAAGGTGCTTCTTTTCCATCCAGAATGTCTTTGTCTGTCAGCATCAACGGAATCTTCACATCATCATAATACATGACTGACCTGCATGTATAATGAGAATGGAACCAAAATAAAAGCAATTAGAAGGTGATAACTCTTATACACACCATCAGTAATTCATGGTAATGGCATTCAAATGTCACGAAAGCAAGGTGCTTTAACAACATCTAAAACTTGCCATTTGCAATTTGTTGGTTTCATGACGATCTTCCTGTAGGCACCAGACAAGGAGTAGTCCCTGGAAACATGAAAACAATCAAAGTGTTTTTGACCATAGAAAAGTCTTGTCTGCTTGCAGTTATTTCACAATTCAGGATCTACCACACTATGTTTAGATCTAACTTTAAAAAAAGGGCATTAACAAGCCATAATACAATATTTTCCTATTACAGGATATCACCCTATGAAGAAATTAAAGAAGATTTAATTGCCAGACTGACTTGACTTTGTGTCTGATGTTGTCCATATCCAGCTGGTCCACTGACAGCATCTCTCTATACCACTCCTCAGCTGAGCACAACACAGAAAATTACAGAACTTTTTGTGAAACCACACAGTCACAGGAAAAGAATTACACAACAACAGATTTCTTTTTGTCCAATGTTTTACCAATTTGTCAGCTGGACAGAACAGAGCAAAATTTTGTCAGTCACCCATTATGTTAAATCATAACAGTTTGAAATGTCCATTGCAATCAATAGCTTGTAACGATGGCCAGCTGTCACTAGCCAATCACGTCACCACCTACAGTCAAGAGGCAACATGATTGGCTGGTAACTCTCCCTCCAACTACAAGGGGGTTATCTGATTGGTTGGTGACTGATTCATACAAGGGACAGACCTGGCATGAGAGGATGAGCAGAAAAGAACTATAAATGCTGAGATGTCTCATAGCTGTACCTTTGTGCTGTGGGTAGATGACATCATATCCAAACAAGGGAAAAACAACATCGTGGATGGTGCAGTTTTCTAAGTCTCCCTCTGTTAACGCCTTAGCTTCAGCCCTCTGGTCTCCATCTGTACAATACACACCAATTCATTTGTCAGCAAAACATCTCTTGGGTGGCACCTATAAATGTTTAACAGGTCATGCCAACAAGCTCCATGTAGATTGAAAAGATAACACAGTAACTGCAAATAGTGAAACATTTAGATAGCTGCTCAGCATGGAACTATAATACAATTGATAAATTGAATGATAACATTTTTGCTATATATTAACATACTAGCTATAATGTTTACCTTTGTTTGTGAAGTGGACAGACACACGTCTGTTAAGAGTAAAAAAGACTTGTACAACTCTTTCCATTTCTGATGAAGACTTTGGAATAAAAAGTCGAAACTGGTAAATTGATAGTCTCAGCCGTCATCCTTCTGATGAACTCTTGACTAATAAAAAAGACTTGTGTAAGAGAAAACGCCCAACCTTTCCTGTCCTGCAGCACCAGATCCCCCACCACTGGCTGGAAGCCGTACTCCTGCAGCCTCCTGCTCACCACACTGTTCCAGATGTAGCTCTGGTAGCTGTGAACATACAGCATCCGGGTGTTCCTGGGGATCTGGGAATACAGGGCGAATCAAAAAAGGCACCAATCTCTTTAAACAATAGGTTTGGTCATGTACAGTCAACAATACATCTTAGCACTCAATCATAACACAATGTTCCATGTGCAGCATCTTGTCAGTTAACAGCACTCAAGACGTATTGTATATTTATCACTTTAATACACTCAATAAACTTGAAAGAATAAACTCCAAACTATAATTAAGTATGCAACTAGTTTCTTATAACTGTAATACAGTTACAGAAACTAATTATAGTATTAATTATTATCATAATTATGAAATTTGCTGTGTTACCACCATTGCACTTAAAAAGTGGCTCACAAACAATGTTTAAATGTACATTTATATACTTATTACAATGTAGATTCAGATTCAGAAGGTTGAGATTTGCAACCAAAGACATGAAACCACACAACAGATTCATCCCAAACTCACAGATGACAAAGCCCCCACTAAGTCCTTCCCATTTTTCACAAGCCCCTGCAGAAGGTGGCCCTCTATATCCTTGGACATATTTCTCTTCGGCATCCTCTCCAGAGCACCCTTGGCATCCCTCGTCTTCCACCAGTAGTCCCTGCAGGCTGACACTGCCCCCTCCTGGTGCTCTGTGGTATTGCAGGAAGACAGAGGACATAAACTTGCAATCGATGTGCCATCTGCAAGATTTGAGTTTTCGAGGATTTCCGGAAGTTATGAACTATGAATTAATGTGAAAAGTTATCCTACCTCCTTCCCTTGGCTTCAGGATGAGCTCTATTGCCTCTTCCCACTTACTGTGTAGCAGGGCTCTGTGAAGAAAAAGGAACAAGAATGAAAGTTTGGACTGTTGAGCTTCCAAAACTGGCTCCTGCCCTCCAGAGGCGATGTGAGCAGGCAGAAAACTGGCTTTTTGACCAATATTATTATTTTCTAGCTATTCCAAACCAAACCTCCAGACAAGGACGACAAGATAAGGTGAAGGTGAAACAAACCAGCTGTTCTGACATGCGTGGGTGATCAAAGAAAAAGTAGAATACTTTGAATGTAAACATGTTGATGATCCAACTGTGCATTGAGAAGTTGATGTGTTAAGATAACTGGTCCAACCTTACATTTGCTCAAAGACAATCTTAAGAGCATGATTTTAAAAAGTCTGTTTATTCCCAAAAAATAGTATAGCAAAAGTTACTAAGCTGTAGAGGAGGTTAACAACCTGTTAAATGTTGTTGTTGGAATCTCCTGTTGGTGCGACAGATGAGTAGGCGTACCAGTGAAACGCCTACTCATCATATTCAACAATGTTAATATTCATGTAACTACTCTCAGACAATCAACCAATAAAAGGCTTAGAAGTTTTACAGCTTGCCGGAGAAAGTTAGACATTTAGGTAATAAGATATGCCAAAAAAAAAACAACAGTTACTCAAGCAACTGGATATGATTTTGGATTTTCCAGTTGCATTTAGTAACTGTTTTTTTGCATGTTTTACAGCTTGCTTCACGAAAAAAGGCATTTGAAGGCCACAACCTTCAGGGTAAACAGCCTGCTGAATCTTAATATTCATGATGATGATGATACTCAGAGTCAGACAATTAACTCAACCATATAAGTAATGCTCCTTTAGTGCTGTTGCCACAACTACACGGTAGCCAGTCAGAGTAGCTGGTGTGTTATGCCTGTGTTTTAGCTGGCGTGTTACGCCGAAAGGTGGTTATACCGACTATACAGATACAGAGTACACATCCTACAACAAGCACAACTGTGACAGAATTCCAGAAAGACCATCGTGGTGAGAAGAACCACGGCCAGCTGAAGATACCGGGGTATCAGCTTTGGATAAACTTCAAAGGTTAGTGTCTTCAGTAGCCAGCGGAGGTTTAAGCTTAGCAAAAGATGCAAAGAATATTATTGTATTATTAGCAGCAGCTGCCATGTAGGAGGGCTGTAATCTATAAAAGGCCAAGGAAAAAAATGTTGTGTTTCTGCATGGTTTCATTCCTGAAAAAACTAGGGTTGGTAGGTACTAGGTAGGGATTCTCTTTTTAGATTTTGGCTGAAGTGATCCAACAAATACGGATTAACAAATGTAAAGACCAAATTCCTAATGATCAGGGCTGTCTCTGGGAGTGTTCCCTCCATTTGCTTGTGGGGGAAGGACTACTGGTAATATAATATTAAATATAATTCACCCGATTTTCTCAATGAAATTTTGGTTCTGAGGGTGAGAATCCTTGAAAAAAGGGTTTGAAATTCAGATATCAGATTCATAATTTCATGACTTGCCAGTGGTCAATTGTAAAAAAAAAAGGCTAGGGTCTACGTTGCATCAGAATTTTGCCTGTTGCAGAAGACATCTTTTCCGGCAAAACATTTGGAAACTACAGACGGATTATTAGCGTGAATAGGACCTTATGCCTAAGTGCTATGCACAATACATACGGGTTTCGTGCAGGTGCGGTATGTTGAGCCTGGTATGTTCTGCCGATGTGATGCCTACCCCCTCCTCTAGCCTGACTAAATCACACTCCTGGCAGCCGCCTGCCCTAAAGGTTGCCGCTCCCTGTCATTAACTCATGGCTGAGAGGAAAACACAGGCTACCTACTTCTCTTGTTTATCCCACATTCACCCTAAGGCTTCCCAGTTCACCTTGAATGCACTTTTTTTTTCTAAATTCCTGCCTTCTGTTTTTTCAGGTGTGAAGACAAAATGGGAAGAAAGTTAAAGGAAATGCTCATTTTTCTCCTCATTCTCCTAAAGGAGCCCAACATGCCAGAAGCAGCAGATTGTACCTGTGATGACATAAAGGCCTGCGGTTGTACCAAACGGGGGCTCCCTGCCGTCCCTCAAAACCTGCCAACATACATTACTTGTTTAAATTTGAGACAAAACCAGATCACAGGCTTAAAACGGTCAGAGTTCTTAAGGTATGAGTACATGATAACTTTGCACCTGAATAAGAATAAGATAACTAACATTGAACCCGGGACATTCTCAGACCTAAGGAATCTCCAATATTTGGGCCTGCAACACAACCACATAGCTGACATTGTGCCTGGGATATTTTCAAAACTGTTACAACTCAGATCGTTAAATCTAGCTCGCAATAGAATAACTAACATTGAACCCGGAACATTCTCAAACATGTTGAAACTCAAACATTTACACCTGTATAGCAATAAGATAACTAAAATTGAGCAAGGGGTATTCTCAAACCTGTTGAAACTGGAAAAGTTGGACCTGTCATGCAATAAGATAACTAACATTGAACCTGGGGCATTCTCAAACCTAGCTGATCTCCAATATTTGCACCTACAAACAAACCACATAACTAAGATTGGGCCTGGGATATTCTCAAACCTTCTCAAACTGAAATATTTGGCCCCATTTGAAAATCAGATAACTAGCATTGAACCCGGGGCATTCTCAAACTTAACAAATCTCCAATATTTGAACCTGCACTCCAACAACATAATTAACATCAAGAATGGGACATTCTCAAACCTGTTGAAACTGAAAAGGTTGGACCTGTCTCGCAATAAGATATCTAACATTGAACCTGGGGCTTTCTCAAACCTAGCTAATCTCCAGTACTTGAACCTGCACTCCAACAACATAATTAACATCAAGAATGGGACATTCTCTAGTCTGCTCAAGCACAAACAACTGAGCCTGTACTCTAACAAGATAACCAAGATTCTTCCTGGTACACTCTCAAATCTTCCGAAGCTCAGTGAGTTGTATTTACACTTAAACCAGATTTCTGTCCTTCCCCCCTCTGCTCATCACGTGTTGTCATCTATTGAACTTGTTAAAATCCACAACAACCCCTGGCAGTGTGACTGTAGGATGGTTCCTTTCAGGAAAAAGATGACTGGTTTGCATCCATTTGAAAACCAGATAACATGTGTCCATCCTATAAACTTTTTGGGAAAACAGCTGAAGGAAATCAATCCTGAAAAGCTGACCTGTGAAGAGTCAAGCATATCTACACTGCCCAAGATTAATACCAAGGTTTTTTCCACATCACCTGAGGCACTGATACCTTCATTTGGCAATCCTGAACCTACAGCGCGTCCTGTAAGCCCCAGATATGCCACATTGCCTGTTGATACCCAAGCCTTTAAAATCACATCAGCTGTAGTGTCCACATCTTCTTCACTTGTCAGTATGAAGAGCAATGCTGTGGGCTCCCCATCTGCCACACAAACCCTCACCTTGAATAAATCGACTCAAGGGCCCACTATTTCTTCTCCTGGTAATTCCAAGAGCAGTGCAAGCTTAAGGGCAGCACATAATGTAGGCCCCACATCTTCCTCCATGGCTTTGATCACCCAATGGCAGGTCACTACAGTTACAATGGCACTATTAACTCCACCCCTTGTTATCACTGGTGCACCAGACAAACCAGGAAGCACAACCCATGACGATAATAGCAAATCTGAAACCAGCTTCCCCCTGCCCATACTCATTGGCTCTGTAAGTGGTGCGGCTGTTGGCTCTGTCCTCATTGTGTCTGTCATTTTCACAATCTGGTACAAGAGGCGGTCCAACAATTCTCCTTCAGGCCCCAAACCTATAGCTACTGATATTTTGAGCAGCACAGCTACTGCTGCAATAAATAGTAGTTATGAGCAGACAGGGCAGGGACAGGCTCAGGCTATCCCTGAATCCTCAAATGTCAGGAATCCACCACCGTCCAATAGCAACGATCCTCCCAAAGATGAGCCTCCCCCACTCCCTCCTCGCTGGAAAGGTGCAGCTATGGCACAAGAGAATGACAGTTTATATTCACACACAGTCCCACACCACTACCAACCTCTGAAAAAGACCAGCAATGAGCCAGCTGATGCTAATAATGACACCCCTCACTTCTGCCAACCCCTGAAAAAGACAGAGAATGTCAATGGGCCTGTTGATGCCAATGACTACTTGATATTGGTACCAAATGCCAATACTAGTACGTAAAATTTGTTCTAAACATCATAGACCCAAAGCACTCATCGAAATATGCTCCTTAGGCCACACCAATTTAATTTGTTGGTTCTCGGATTTTTTCAGAAAAAATATGAAGCCACAGGGCGAAAAAAAAAATAAAAACAGGTCTAGGCATCCTATTATAGGCTTAAATGGTACGAAATGAGCCATGAAGTCAACACAAAAGGCTGGGTTAAAATTTAAACATTGAATTTTGAACTTTTAATCAAACCACTGCAATGATAGATGGGAAAATGATTGGAACAACTAGGAAGAAAAGGACTTTCCTCAACTGTTGGGAGCAAAACATGAGCATTTTTCAGTTGATTCAGGACCAGAATCAAATTTTTTTTTGCAAATCAGAAAAAAACGAAGAGGCGAATCCGAGAACCAACAAATTAAATTGGTGTGGCCTTATCATGGATTTCACTTAAAATTTCAATGAAAAGTCTAACTATGATTAAAATCACCTAATTTCCTTTATTTTATATTCTAGCCCCTCATAAAAAAACTTCAACAATGAGTACAAATGAAAGCGAAACAACTAACCAAGCCCTACCCATTCTGTTGTGGACAGTAGTAATAAATTGAATGTAAAACTTGTAGATCAAACCTAAGAAATAGTCTAGGGAGTTGCAAAAGCTGTGCAAAAGTTAGTATCTTAGGTTTCTCCTTACTTATCCTTCACATAATTAAACCATGCCATCATTTTACGACTACGACTGGCAGTTTGAAAATTCTGCCATAACTGCTGACCTTTGTGACCCTCTGTGGACCTATTAAAGCTCTAGAAGGGGTAAACGACCTGTTAAAATGTAAATATTCATGTAACTACTCTCAGACAATCAACCAAAAAAAGGCTTAGAAGTTTTACAGTTTTTTGACCAAAAAAGGAATTTGAAGGCCACAACCTGAGTAAACAACCTGCTGAATCTTAATATTCACGATGATGACGATGGTGATACTCAGACAATCAACTCGAGAATGTAAGTAAGGCTACTACTGAGTGCTGTTACCAGTCAGAGTACACATCCTGCAACAAGCACAACTGTGACAATTCCAGAAGGACCATCCTGGTGACAGAGTCACAGCCAGCTGAAGATATCAGCTTTGGATTAACTTCAAAGGTCAGTCTCTTCTGTAGATAGCAGGGATTTATGTTTAACAAAATATGCAAAGAATTGGATTATTGCTCCTGCCATGCAGGAGTGCTGCTAGCTATAAAAGTCTGAGGAAAAAATGTTGTATTTCTGGTTTCATTCCTGAAAAAAAAAAGGGTAGGTAGGTAGGGATTTTTTAAAAGATTTCGGCTAAAGTGATCCAACAAATACAGCTTAACAAATGTCAAAACTGAATTGCCTCATGATCAGGGCTGTCTCTGGGAGCGTTCCCTCCAATTCCCTCCAATTCCTTGACAGTTGACGGATCGTCATGATTTTTGGATTTTGTAGCTTACATGATGCTCGATATAAATTATGTGACAAGCATGCAAATATGGATGTAATTTGCATAATTGATGGGGAAATTCTATAAATCAGCTGCATTCCAAGATAGGACTATTGAAGCTTGTGAGCTTGGCAATTGAGAAAGAAACACAGGCAGATATTGATTATGTAAATGAAGACTTAATTTGCATAATTAATGAGAAAATGTTATAATTATGTAATGATAACTGCCTGGAATTTCATACTTGTGGTATTTGAAAGTTCAGTGAAGGTGACCATCATTATACATAATGTTTTTGAATCAATTTATGAGAAAATGCTAGAATGGCATTGTTTGTTAATATAAGACTGTCTTTTGGTTGAGATTTAACTTGAAAATATGATAAACTGATATAATTCATGAAAATGAGGATCCTATTTGTTAAATTGGGGAACAAAGCATAATTTGTCAGTCATAAAGATTACCCAGTAATATCATTTGGCGAAGGTAAGAGATCGGGGAACTCTAGTTTTCATGTATTTCTTGCTCCATTACTGCATTTTGTAAATGAAGTTAGACCAATTGTCTAAGACAACCACTTTTCCCTGGTCCCATGGATGTCTGTATTAGACAAGTTTGACTGTACAGCATATGAATACCGGTATGTTTCTTTATTTATCCAGTAAAGTTGAGACTTGCAAAGCATGCACCATGACAGACTGTTACATAATATAATACATAAAACTTTCATATTGTCAAATCTTCTTAAGTATTCCAAGTACTTCCTACTCACTGCCACTGTCACTTCCAAATACTTCCTACTCACTGTCCAGTGTACCCTTGAATGGCCTGCACTTACTTTTTTTTATAAATCTGTGCCTTCTGTTTTTTTTTTTTCAGGTTTGAAGACAAGATGGGAAGGCAGTTCAAGGAAACATTAATTTTTCTCCTCACCCTACTAACAAAGTGCAACATGCCTGAGGTGGCAGGTTGTAGGTGTAATGTTGTAAAGGCTGAGTGTCACAGTAAAAAACAGGGGCTACCTGCCATCCCGCAAAACCTGTCAGTATCCATCACTTGTTTGGATTTGGGAAGAAATCAGATCACAGCCTTAAAACGGTCAGAGTTCTTAAGGTATAAGAATATGATAACTTTGTATCTGAACAAGAATAAGATAACTGACATTGCACCTGGGACATTCTCAAACATGTTGAAACTCAACTGTTTAGACCTGTCCAACAATAAGATAACTAACATTGAGCAAGGGGCATTCTCAAACCTGTTGAAACTCGAAAAATTGTACCTGTCTGTTAACATGATATCTAACATTGAACCCGGTGCATTCTCAAACCTACCTAATCTCCAATTATTGTACCTACACAACAACCTCATAACTAACATTGAATCTGGCATATTCTCAAAGTCAAACCTGTTGAAACTCAAACGGTTGACCCTGTTTGACAATAAGATAACTAGCATTGAACCGGGGGCATTCTCAAACCTAATGAATCTCCAATTTTTGAGCCTACGTTTAAACCAGATATCCGTCCTTCCCCCTTCTGCTCATCACATGTTGTCATCTATTGGTACTGTTAAAATCCACAACAACCCCTGGCAGTGTGACTGTAGGATGATTCCTTTCAGGAAAGAGATGACCGGTTTGCATCCATTTGAAACCCAGATAACATGTGCCCATCCTGCACACTTCTGGGGAAAAAAACTTAAGGACATAAATCCTGAAGATCTGACCTGTGAAGAGTCAAGCATATCTACACTGCCCAATATTAACACCCAGGCACTGGCACCTTCACTTGGTAATCCCGAACCCACAGTGCGTCCTATAGGCCCCAAATTTGGAACACTGCCTGTTGACACCCAAGCCTTATTCACATCATCCGCAATATCCACATCTTCTTCTATGAAAAGTAGAACTGAACCTACAGCACATCCTGTAGGTCATGTATCTGCCACACTGCCTGTTGCCTTGAATGAATCGACTCAAGCACCCACTTTTTCTTCACGTGGTAATAGCAAGAGTAGTGAAAGAGCAACAACACATATTGCAAGCCCCACATCTTCCTCCAGGCCTATGACTACCCAATGGAAGTTCGTAGCAGTTACAATGGCGCCGTTAACTCCACCAATTACTATCACAGGTGCACCAGACAAACTACGAAGCGAAAGCCATGACAATAATTGCAGACCTGAAACCAGCTTCCCCCTGCCCATACTCATTGGCTCTGTAAGTGGTGCGGCTGTTGGCTCTGTCCTCATTGTCTCCATCATTGTCACAATCTGGTACAAGAGGCGGGCCAAGAATCCTTCTTCAGGCCCCAAACCTATAGCTACTGATATTTTGAGCAGCACAGCTACTGCTGTAATAAATAGTAGTTATGAGCGGACAGATCAGGGACTGGCTCAGGCTATCCCTGAATCCTCAAACGTCAGGAATCTACCGATGACCAATAGCAACGATCCTCCCAAAGATGAGCCTCCCCCACTCCCTCCTCGCTGGAAAGGTGCAGCTATGGCACAAGAGAATGACAGTTTATATTCACACACGGCCCCAAACCACTACCAACCTCTGAAAAAGACCAAAAACATCAATGAGCCAGCTGATGCTAAAAATGACACCCCTCACTTTTACCAACCCCTGAAAAAGACAGAGAATGTCAATGGGCCTGTTGATGCCAATGACTACTTGATATTGGTACCAAATGCCAATACCTAAAATTTGTTTTAAACATTGCACACACACACAATGCACAGTGGCTGAGCCAACTAATGATCATGGTAATATGCTCCTTATCATAACTTTCGCTTAAAACTTTCATCAAAAGTTTATCAACTATGATTAAACTCACTGGATTTCCTACAATATTTGCATATTCTAGGCCCTCATAAAAAACTGCAACAATGAGTGCAAATGAAAGCGAAACAACTAACCAAGCCCTAACCATTCTGTTGTGGAGATAACTTTTGGACAGGAGTAACGTATTGAATGTAAAAGTTGTAGAACAAACCTAAGAAACAGTCTGGAGAGTTGTAGAACCTAAGATGCATTCAAAAGCTGTGTTTCTAGTGTTGTAATAAATAAGTATTTTAGGTTTCTCCTTACTTATCCTTTACATAATTAATATGTAATAACTGTAAACAAGGAATATGTCAAACTACAAAATGTATCAAAGTTTAAACCTAAATATCCAACTCAAGAAGTGTTATAGATGTAAAGAAATCTAAAACATCTGTACCAGAGTTGACAATGACTGAAAAATGGCTGAAGGGGTGAGAAAAGATCTTGTATAAATGACATACCTGCCCACGTGGTGTGAGGGCACAGACGTTGTACCAAACCTCTGCATTCCAAAGTAGTTGATGAAGCCGTTGTCTCTTAATGAGCTCATCCCAGCTTCTATCTGTTCTGGCCTTCCTGTACAGTTCCTGAAAAAGGCTGGGGCTACATTATCAAGTGCCTATAGTATTGTCTTAGTGCCTGTACTTACCGTAGTTGCACTAAATGTGCATATCATATGTAGTACAATGTACATGTATATAATTCCATGTTAAGTGAAACCTACTTCAACAGACAACACTTTCAAACTTTTAAATCTAAAAAATTTATTAGTGACCAAACTTGGATTAGTATGACCTACGTGATGTATGACTTATTATTTGAATATGATACATGTACATGAATTACATTGTAAAAGTGTGACTTGAATTTGAAAGGAACTTAAGAAACAACAAAAAGCAACTTACAAAACAGCAAGATATACAAAACTCAATTCTTTGTCAATGACATTTATTAGAAAAACTAGTGAGATTTTTTGGCACCCAATATCTTGGTTAAGCACAAACAGGCTCACCTTAGTACAATGGTAAAGTGATTGCCGCTAAGAAGCCCCAGCTTTAGGGGCTGTTCAGTATATCTGAAATGGAAATATCACAAAAGATTATGTTTAAGAGTTTAGTAATCCTTTCTCAATGTGGGAACAAGACGTAGAACAAAATGTACAAGACAATACAGTATGTGAAGAATTCCACGTACCTGAAGTTTCCTATAACTACATTTCTTGTCTGCTTGTTGAGGTCACAAAATCTTTCTGCTGCTATCCTACAAGGTACAGTTGTAAGACAAACCTTACCATGTATATTTTTTTATATATATCAACAAGGCAATTGTTGTTTTAATCATAAGGGTGTTTATGTTCAGTAATCAACGATGATACAGTGAGTTTGTGATTGTAGAAGTCCAGGAAGACTATACAATATATATATATATAGTAGCACACTACTAATGAATTTTCAATAAAGTGTCAGATTCCAACACTCTTTGAAGCTTGTATATATTACTGTCATTATGAGGAAAATTGCTAGCATTCTGACAATTTATCCTCCTTGATAAAACCTACATGTTCCAGACTTGGTTATCTGGTGCAGGAACATTCATGCCATAATCATTCATGGTATCACTATTTCAAAAACTAATGAATAAAAAGCCAAGCCACTAATTCAAAATTCTCTAAAAAAAATTCCCTGTCTAAGGACATATTACAAGGAACATAATGTAGGTAATTCACATGACAGTGTGTACCTGTATGCTGTTACCTCTTGTACAGTTATCGCCCTTTTGTCCTTTGTTCCTGCATATGCAAAGAAGCCAGGCCTCACCCTAAATGCACAGATTGAGTATACTAAATGTGTGATCGAGATTTATCAAAACCATTATAATGTATGTCCATCAGCACACTTGACAAGTATCTGAACAAAGGAACAAAGACACAAATCACACAGGTGTTAAAATTAGGGTGTCAGCTGATTTAAATCTGAAACTTTCTTCCTTTTCAACATGTTACATTAAATGTGTATAAACATGTTTAAGCATATCTTAATATCATACTAATGTCTCACAAGCAAGTGTAGCCTTACCGCAGCTTCATAGCCAGTAGGTTGATGGCGTCCATGGTGTCCAGGTTCTCTTTATACAGGACAAACTGACAGTAGTCTGGTCTGCCTTTGGGCCACTTGAACCTTTTCTGTACTAAAACAACAGACCATATGCACACATAGAGTGTATGAGTTAACATGACAAATAGCATGCAAGTATTTTCCAATCTGGTGCCTTATTTTTTCAATGTTATAATTTCATGCTGGACACCTCATCTTACACCTCATCTTCAGATCCAAATATTTTAGCCTCTAAATAAATTCATTCAAATACAAAGTAACTTCAACTTTATATATATTAACAAGTATGCCATGTTTCACCACCACAAATACAATCTGGCCAAATTTAGGAGTGAATACGTACATGTCATTATAATCAATATGTAATACAGGTACTGTACAGTTGATCAACATCTTACCTCGGGCCTGTGAACCTTTTCCATATCTGACCCTGATGACCTTGGTGTCGCCGACCTCCAAGGTCTCACTCTGCAGTTCAGAGAAGAGCTCCTTGATGGCGTGGTGAACTCGGGTTCTCTGCTCCTTGTCTTCTCCAACCTGAGAGTGACAGCAAAGTAGAATCAGTAAAAAAAAAACAACACTTAGATACCAGATATCTTTGACCAATTGTTGACATCACACTTCAGAAAAGCCATGTGACAAGTCTCACTGGGTCAGTCTCCTGAGGAAAGGTGAGAGCATTTCCCTTTGTGTTGGAAGAAAAGTTTTACCTTTAAACAGATACAATATGTATAGCTACAGTGGAAACTGTCTAATAATAGTATGTATAGTGTCCACTAAATGGACTAGAAGAATTTAATGGCAGTAGACAGAAGGCCACTGGACTGGATTCTTCACCATTCTTAAGTCAAGGGGACCACAATGGCCTAACATGGGTGCCAGACCATTTCCAGGGCCAACATAGTCCAGTTCCTTGAATCCGGGGCCAACATACCCCCGAGAAAACTACACCACATTATACCACTGTTGGTTCAAGACTAGCATTGGTTGAGGTAGTCGTTACAGTATCACAATGCAAGAAAAGAGGAGAGGCACAATTCTTCACGTTCTCACTTCAATATCAACAGTAGCTGACTTGTCCTTTGATTCCAGCAGGTTTTCCAGTTTCTGCTTGTCTTCCTGAGAAAGCACATTGTCAACACTGCCGGCAGCCTGGGCACCGCTGTCTACAGGTGGGGATGTGTCGGTCAGCTGGACAGTCTTCCCCTGGACATCCACCTCTCTCACCAGGAAGTCTGAATACCTGTGACAATGGACAGCAGATATTGAAGCAATGTCTTTATTGGTTTGGCTATTCAGGACACACAGCCAGGGCAGCCTGTGGCTATTGCGAACAGTTTGCCCTGCTGACACAGACAAGACATTACAATATCATACAACAGCTCCATATAATTTATGTGAAGATATTGAAGCACTGACACAACCAGCACATAAATTGTATTTAAATGACAGCATTACCATTGTCATGACACAGGGAATTCTGCTCTGTGTCAAGTACTCTCTGGTGTGGCTAGGCTAGCAGACAACAGATCGAAAGGTCACAAGTTTGAAATTCCTGGCTAGACATACTCCACCATGCATGGGTACCTGACTTCGGTTGGGGAAGGAAAAGGAAGTGGAAGGAGAGGGATGGGCTTTAATCTGCAAGCAGATCTTTTTGGGGCTGTTGGCCAATAGTGTTGGCCAAGCTTTATCCATTTTACAGACTCTCTCCATTTGCATACAATCTGGCAAATGGATACAGCCTGACCAATTTGATACTCTCTTTGCAGCCACCGAAAGATCTGCTTGGAGATTACCCCCGGTAGATGGGCTCCACTGTGCCTTACAATGTAGCTAACAACCCGCTGTCCCTACAGCCTCAAAGGCTAATTGGGTCCCGGACCTTTACCTGTACCTTATCAACCTCCTCACCTTTGTTTGATGATGCCTGAGAACCCCTCATGTTTGCTGATATATTCTGTGATGCCGACGTCTGTCTCCCTCTGTGCCAGCAGGTTCACTCTGCTGGGAACCTTCTGAGCCGAGACACTGGTGCCGACCGCACTACCTTCCTCTGTATCTGCCTCACAGCTAGCGTCATTGCCTTGTTTGTCATCTTTCAGTTGCAGAAGAGAAAGAAAATCATTTTTAATGAAGTTAATCACGTCCCATGTCCTTTACCACTTTATGTTGCACTATTCACTAGTTTGAGAGATAATATAGTATTTCAAATTCCACATGACATGTTCAAATATACTCAGCTGTATCATTTTAAAGAGCATCTAAATGTATCTACCAATAGATAATTAACCAATGCACTGTACAAGAAAAAACTACTAGCTATTGTAGCATGTTTGGTGGCAAATTACAAGAGTTAATGAACAGAACTTGAAAAAATTACAATTAGTAAATAAACGTAGTGAGAAATATATCATTCCTACCTCCCACAAGTTCATCAGTTTCTGGAGTCTCCCTAGTAGCAGTCTGCTCTTCACCTTTATCAGGGATATCCTCAGACACTTCTGATAATTTGATCTTTTTAGCTGATTTCTCTGGTGGCTCAGAGTCTAAAGATCTCTTTTCTTGTTCCATATCTGCCATATCCCTATAGAGTATAACCGTTATAACTGTTAAGTATAACGTGTGACTATAACATATCTACAAGGACATTATACTATACACAGATGTGTATATTAAATGTCCTTGATATCTAGTATGATCAGATGTATGCTAAATTCTAGTGCCTCAACACTTTTGTTGGCTTTGTTATCATCAGGAAGTTACAGGTTTTGTGCTTCTAATATTGTACCTCAACAAGCAATCTGAGATAGCAGACTTCATCCCATACTAGTGATAGGCGCCCTCTGCCAGACCACACAGAAACTGCAGCATGGAACCACAGCCAGGCACACATACATGTGAGTGCATGGGACAGTCACGCCACAACGTATTACTTCATATCATGGGGTGAGGTGGGAAGTACAACGAAACGTTGTATACATGTGGTTAGTTTAAATAAATCAGGGAAACTTCCACGTGCACGAAAGAAGGATAAGAAAGAACCAAAGCAAAGTTTACCTCTCGCCACTTTCCCTTGCCCACGGTCGAAACTACACCTACTATTCCCTGGCCCTGCACTTGCTTACTCTGCTAGCTAACTCCGCTGTTGCTTCCTATGTGCTGTGTGTAGGTTAAAAACCACACAAGAAACCCAGATTCTGTAGTTTTGCCGAAAACCAGAAAATTTCGATTTCCCTCTTTCCACGTTTGACCCCTGAGCCATCCCACAATGCATCGTAATCACCCAGGGCGCAGGCGCGGTGACCCCAATTTCAAAATCGAGAAAAAAGTTTGAGAATGAGTTCCAGAAAAGGTGAGCAAATTGGACCATTTTCTCGGCTGTTTTTAACCGTGCCCCGTTCCGTCTCGGTCAGGTTTGTTAATGTGTATTCTTCTGATTCGCAGTGTTAGCAATCCAGGCCCGGAAAAAGCGGACAAAAGCGCCAAAGGGCCGACTGAAAAATGCGGCGTACCGGGACCGCAATCGGCAGGCTGGCAAGGGACAGGGGTGAGTAGAGCTGACATGTTGTTCGATGTACTTGTCAACATCGCAGATTGATCAACTTAACTAAATAAACACTGCCCTGTTTGCTGTGCTAATTGGTATCATCCCGTCCATGACGAATATTCGCCAGCAGAACGGCTCGGAGACCACACGGTCTCCTGATTCATCATGAAAGACCTGCGTCCCGCTCACGCCCGCTATCCGATATGGCTTCCTACAATCGTTTTACCACACTATTCATCATGTTCTAAACTAGCTAGCCATTTCCCCCATTCGTGATGGCATCTAAAACACTTTTGTGCGCCAAATTGGCAGCTTTCCGCCGCTCGCAGGAGCTTGTCGGCGACCTAAGTGTGTGAAGATTGTGTCACAGCTGAGAAAAGCGCAGTCGTACTGTATTTGCGCGGGAGGACAAGGTTGTGTGAGGTCAGGGCGTGTGTCTGACAAGGCCAAGCCTCTGACCCTCACACAGGATGGCTGTTGTCAGTCCTGAGTATCGTGTACCCTCACTTCATGCTTCCACATATTTATCCTAAGTATTAGACAGATCTATGTCCCTTCTTAAAGGCCAGGTTTGTAGTAGTACATTTGACAGCAGCCTTGAAGGCATGTTGAGGATAGTGTGCAGTACTGTGCACCAATGTCAGTTTAGTGTGTTAGGAATCTTCACTGAATGTTTTCTCATGTGCAGTGGTCCTTTGTGCCATCTAAATGACCTTGTTTGTGTAATTAAGTACACCTGATGTGACAGCAGACTTCATGTCTGTGTGTTTTTCTAATGTCCTTGGTTTTACCAAGGAGGTTTTGTATTTAACCTTCTTGGTTTCACCATGTAGAACAATATAAAACATAATCTACTCTCCTGAAGTCAGTAACAAGTGCATGTTTTCTCATATTTATTCTGTAACTATGTGTAAGATCTGAGATCAACTTGCACCAAGTCGGTAGCAGTAATGGCCTACCTCCGTACAAATCATCGCAAGGAGGCCTTTGATCATTTAGCTTTATGTACATATATCTATATCAAGGACATTATACGACATCCTGGCATATATGCTGTCAAAAGTTTTAAGTGTTGGAAACTTTGTATTGTAATTTGTAGTGTGTTGTTTTACTGCATGCTGGTTTTGTTTTTGTTGCAAATCTTAACCCCACTCCCCACCCACCCACAGCAGCAACTTTTGAATCTCTGTTCCCAATATATTCTAGTTCAGCAAGCCATACTGTTGGCTCTGACTATTATTTACATTATAATGGTCAATTATTTTGTCAGATTTGTTGCATCTTTCTAGGAAAGTGGCACCTATGACCCACATAAAATGACATAATCAATATTGCATCAAGCCCAGTAGAAAAACATAGGTAACAGATCACAAAAAAATCAATGCTGTTGGGTGTTTCAGTGTTTGTTGAGGCCCATTCTCAGGCCCATGTGAGACAAGTTTGCCAGAAACACCCCAGTGATACCGAGAAAATGGGGAAGCTTATTACTGGTATTGTATACCTCTGTCCAATAAATGTCCAACACTGTCCTCTGTCCGTTACTGTTTTAGGCAGTAAAAGTGTCCCAGAGTCTTGACTTGGAAGGGCAAGTATACTGCAAAATAAGGTGGTAAAAGACACCACTCTCAAGTGTTTGCTTAACTGAACTGCCAAGGAAAAGAAATCCCTGCTATATGCCCTTGACAATGACATTGTGCAATTCTATCTCAAAACACTTTTTCTTCACCTTTATTAAAACATGGGGATAGCAGTTGATACCTCTGTTGACTGTCCACATATCTTTTGGAACAGATCATCTACTTTTTATGTCTCTAAAACCAAAGACTCTTAGTTTTGCTAGTGTGCAGTTTTAAGCCTTGAAATTTTTCTCCATTTTTGCCATTCCCAACAATGTGTAGTTATTTTGTTTCTGGTATTAGATGTATCCCTTTAATGCATTTTTTTGTTAGCTACATTATTTAAGATTCAATATTATCCTAGTGATTCACCTCTGTTACTAAGTGTTAGTGATTGGTCTATTTCTGTGCAAGCAGTTGATTCATTCATGCATTGTAACAGTATGGCCACACCATACAAGGTTAGTGTGTACTGTCTGTACAAGGCAGCTTAGTGTACTGTTTCCGGTTCTTAGCTTGTCCACACTGCTTTCCCTCAAGTCTGAGCAAGGGGATCTAGGTTGTTTATAGAAACAAACACAGATAGACTCCATGTGTGCCTAACCTAGTATCTGTCCCCAGTGGGGAAAGACAGGACATGCTATAGGTCATTCATGGGTCAGGATATGAGACAAACATGCCTCTTATAATTACTTTCCTCAGTTTTATGTTTGCTGTTTTAAATTGTCTGGGATGTCTGCCTTTTCCCTGCCTTGTTAACCTTTTCTCCAACCACTAGCACAGGCGAGCCCTTGTAGTTCTTCTGTGTTGCACTGTTTCAACTGCCAGAAGAAATATGGCACCTGCTTTGAAGATATATGATACATGTGTGTTTGATATAGGATGGAAGGTACCACTGCACAGTTAATCCTACAAGGTTGAGACTGCATTAGTGTATTAAATGGGCTGCTTTTGCATGATACTCATGTGTCAGTGTTGTCCTAAAAGGCCACACCATTTTATTTCCTTGGCTGCTTTTATTTCCTCAATTGATCATGTTTTAAGTAAAAATCTGGTGAATATCATGAAAAGAAAACAGAGAGCCAACAAGGAATTGAAATTCTTGATCCTAATTATATATGTAACTCTCCAAAACTGTTTGTACCAAGGTAAGACTTTATAATTTTTTTCATTTATAAAGAATTCTTAAACCACAACTTGAATTGGCATGGCCTAACAGAGTGATCATTGTACCAAGAAACCAAACACTGTATTAGAGCTTTCCCATATCTCATACAAGTAGTATGATACACCTACTATGTAATGACCCAGAAAATGTGATGGTCGGTGCTAGTAGTACTTGGATTGCAGTTACAGTGAGATTTGATGAATCGTGCAGATCGTCTCTGTCCTGTTGCTTGCGTTGCATCAGATCATTGATTTTGCAGTGACATTGCAGTCAGCCCATTTTTGTAATAACGCCTGCCTGCTATATATTGGCACAGTGGCTTCCTAACATGTTTAATTTATGGATGTCTCAAGTATTGCATTTAGAGTAAGCGCCTTATTATGCTGACCACTTAATCTTGTTGCCAAATATGTCCTTTGTTGTTACATTTTAGACACTAATGTATCTCACATCCTTCTTCTACCATCTATTTCTGTGCCAGGCAGCTTGTTGGTACATTTTAGCAGTGCAAAGCTTTAACTATTAGTATACAGGACCTATTAGATAACTGTACACATAATATTTGTTTACATTACAGATCTAGAGAAATCTGAATGAACAGGATAGGTGATATTTTCCCTAATCAAACAAATTAAATATTTTACTGGCAGAAGAAACACTGAACTAATTTCAGCCTGCCCAGATATTTGATTATACTATAGTATAGGATTGAAGTTGGAAGGGTCAAAAATGGCAAACAATTGACAGCAAATCTTTGCCATATCATAACTGGATCTGAAGCTTTGTAATAATGTCTTCTTCATATTGAGGCCAGATATATACATTGTCCATGAACAGTTGTTGGCCTTGATTTGATATGGTCTGGCAGCTTGGCATTAATTTAAAGGTCATGTCTTCTTCTACATGCTCGAGGGACTGTCGACTGCCCAATAAAGTGGCAATACATGTACATCTTGTTCCAGAGTCCAGTTCAATGGACAAAGATCAGTTAAAATAGCAAAGTCCAAGGCCATAGAGCTTTTTGTAGCGGGACTGTCCTATATAATTATCAATTTGTTTATGTTATCTATATTAGTAATCACCATAAATTGTACATATATATATAGTTTTTGATTGATTGTTGAACAATTTTGGTCAGCTTTCTACATATCTAAAAGATATATGTTTTTCGTTGTCACTCTGGGATATATTGATATTGCAATATCTAATAAATATGGCTAAAACTTTGTGACTGCACCGGTGTGTTATTGATTTTAAGCTTAAAAAATAATGTAATGATATGCACATTTATGTCATTGTAAATACATGTATGTAGTTCATATTTTGTACTGGCTTGAGATAGTAGGAAGTTGCATTCTCTTCTGTCCCTGCAGGCCTGTCTAGTATGTTAGATCAGTGCCATATGTTATCTGTTTTGCTTGTCAATACTATAGAGTGCTTGTATATCTGTTCCAGAAATACACCAGAAGTGTTCTTATGTCAACACCTGGAGTACCCTGGACAGTTTTTAACTTGAAAATTCCAGCTTTGGCATTATTTACAGTTGACATAGTTCAGAACCTAACCTGGTTACCTTCCAGTTTTATGATATCCTGCTGTGGTAGTGGTTTGTGTGGATTGTACATGCAGAAGTGGGCATAAACTAATCAAGATGGTACACAGGCTATTGAGAACTGTCTTTAGAAACAGATGTTCCTACATGTTCTGACACAAGCACTGGCAGATTACTGGTTTTACAACCTTTGTGATCATATTTTTATCAGACTCAGAGGTCTTAGTCCCACTCTCTTTATAAATGATAAAAATGTAAGTGTTAAAGTGGAAATTAATCCTTATCTTTCTGTTGATGTACATGTAGACAAATTTAGCTGTATCCTAGCTCTCTGCTTTATCAGTATTGCTAGTTGCTTTTATCAGTCTAGACATTTGTCTAATCTATTATTTAGGGAACAAACTCCTGCGAGTTTGTTTGGGCAGTGCGTACGTAAGTGGTTGGATTGGTAGGCTTTTTGTTCCCATGCATGCCTAAAGTGCAAACTAGCAACACTGATCATTGTAAGGCTTTCATTAGCAGACTATACATGTGTGAGTGAAACCAGAAATGCTTGGATAATGTGCAAATATTATATATGTATTTGCAAAGAACCTATTGGTAATATACATATAAGTTTATAATCAAATCCATGTAGGATACAGATTGCTAAGATTTATTGCTT